CCCTCTGGATCCGCTACTAGCTTGTACAGATACAGATACAGATACAGAAGCTTTATTTTACGTCGAATATTATAAACATACAACATAAGCTACGAAGAGCTTGTATTTCGACAAACACATGTAAAGAACAAAATACATAACAAGAAAACTTTCATAAAAAATATTTACATATTGAAACGTTAAACAGTAAAAATATGAAGCATGCAAAGCATGTACAGCACATTTGCAGGAAAAAAATAAACATATGACAAGAGCATCAAAATTGTAAACTACAAAGCTGACAAAAGCACAGAGCCATATGTAAAGCTGTACGTTATATTTTAAACAATACACTTCAGCCAGCACAGGACACATACAAAGTAGGAAAAATAGGTAGCCAAAAACGCTAACCAACACATAAAGTGCATCCGCACTCGGGCCCGTCCCACCTACGGATCAGTCTGCCGAACTCGGAGTAGTTCTCCACTTTACGCAATTCGTTCGGCAGGCTGTTCCATATGCGGACGCCCTCATAGCGGAAGGACCTCTTTCCATACCTGGTGGTGTTGACCCTTGGAAGCTGTGTTGTATTCAGCTTGAACTAGTGTTTACCTCTCTTTTTTGCTGAATATTTAGAGTTTACTGTTAATCACTTAATTATGTGTGTGTTTTGTCTCGGTGGACGTTGCATTTTTTAAAAAACTTTTAATGTTTATTTCTCGTGCAATCTTTAAGTTGTTAACCACTTGACCTTTAAAGCTGACCAATGTCATTTATTCGAATACATTTGAATGAAAAGAAATCATTCAAACATGTGAACACGTTTAATCTGTGTGACTTTAAAAGACGATTAATGTTATTAAATTTACCCCAGAAAACTGCATCACAAATGTCATGACCCCATACCTCTTGGTTTGTCGGAACACATCCGACCCATGCAGTATTGAAAGTTAGTCAATGTCATTTATTTTAACGGACTTGACAGCCCTCTGTCCCACCATGTTAATTATCAGCCAAATAAATTGTATCAAGTCCATAAGCCACATAGTTATTCAGAAGAAATCATTTTAATCTTCAAAATATTTGACATCTGTCGCTTTGAATGCGGGTATAGGCCATTCATTTGAACTTGAAAGACCTTCATCCTATCACTATAAGCACAATTCATCATGGCTCTATGCTTCTTGGTCATTTGACAAAAAAAAATAAAAAAAAAATGTGCCAAGATCTTTCATTATAACAAACTTGATAGCTCTCCACTTCAGCACGCGTAAGAAAACATCATGACCCCGGGCGTCCTTTTATTTAGAAAATATTGTGAAATGAAAACAAGAGTTCCACAGCCCTTATCTGTCACAGGAGTTTCTTCTGTTGGTATTTGTTTTCGTTGAGATGTGAAACCTGATACGAAGCCTTATATTTTAATGAATCATTGTAATGATAGATATATATATAGTAACACGTAACCATGATCCTCATACAACTTCGTTTTTTTCAAAATTCAAAATGGCGGCTATGCTCTCTTTTAAAGTTATATAGTACGTGCAGTGGCTGCCATTTTGAAATATTTAAAGAGAGTTCCATTTCGAAGCTACAGTATCCTCCCTTCTCTAAAGATGACACAATTGCAACAAAACAGAGTTTTTCTGACTTCGAGTTATGTCTTCTTTAACGATATTCATCTCTGATTTTGATGCTTTGTAGATAGCAACACTGGTTCAGGACAGGATAGGCAGTAGATAGGTCCACAGTTTGAACCCTGTAGTGACATAATAATAATATACAGTAAAACCTTGCTAATAGTCCCTGCAGGTAGGGTGTAATTGTAAGAGGAGATGTTCTATCCCCTTGCCGAGACATACCCGAGTCTGTAAAAATGGTATTTTCTATTCCTGCTTAACGCTAAGCAATTTATAGGGGTGGGGCGACTGGTTTGCCCGTTGTCAGTATAATGTGACCGGGTGGGGTGTCGTGCTGGGTGTCTTCGGCAGTATGTTTCAGTGAGGTAGCACGATAAAGCCCGCATCAGTTCTGCGCTATCACAAGGAGACAAACATGAACATATCAAAGCCTCCTAAAACACACACGCATATGCATCTTGCACATAAGGGAGGCCGTCTTCAAATGATTTAAGTTGTTGATAGGACGTTAAACAAAACCAAACCAAACCAAACCAATTCAAACCAAACCAACCTTGTTATACTGCCACCATTTGTCCAGAGAAAATTTGGCATTATTAAGGGGTTTGGCGATAAATTGAGTGAAATGATAAAGGAATTCTCGAGGAAAACAAGAAAAAGGATTTTGAAATATGTTGGCAGTAAATGAGGTGGCCATTCTATTGAGGTTTTACTGTGCTCAATGTTATGGTACTCTCTCCTAGATATGTAGGGAGATTTTTTACAGATATTATGCCTAGTCATATAGGACTTGTGTTAATCAGACACCATCTATATATGTGTTACAAGTTTTACTTAAAACACTACCCTTAGATATGTTATTACACTTAATAAAGCTAGAAAGAAAGACAAAATATCAATAATGGTTAGTTTTATTCATTCTCTTGAACACAAATGGATGAACAAGTAACAAACACAGAACCTAAAATGCAATTATAAAATTTCCATGAAAAACTCAATAACATGCAAAGGTTTGAGCTTCAACTTTAAAAGTACATTCATAAATCAGCAAAATACAAATTATTTAAAATATATATCTTATTTGTGATCGAGTTTTATAGAAAAAACACAAGAATTCATTAACACTTGCCTAATCTGATACCATTTTAGACATAACTTGTAGGTGATATTGAACACATTAGAACTATAAGCACAATAATGTGTCAATTTCATACTAAGATTACGTAATTTTGTTAGATTAGACAAGACGTTGGAATACTCAGGTGTCGGAAAAACAGGTTTGACTGTATACTGACTTGATGTATTTGATAATATAACTTCACATGACATATATAATATAGAAATTCACATATTTGGTATTGCTGACATAGTTCGGAGAAATTCTGGAAATGATAGTATGCATCATGACAATTGTAATATTTCTAAAGTTCACTACAGAAAAATTACATACATGTATACCATAAAACTGCTGAATCATTATAAATGTGCCTTTCAATGTGCTTGCACAAATAGGACCCTTTCATCCCTATGCAACTCAAGTAGACTCTACCATGCATTGATATGGATGAGTCCATTATGGTCAACAGTGGTGAAAGGGTTAAGAACCAAAGTTTTAGTAATTATAAACAATAGGTTAGATTGTTCCATTCCCAATGCATATCACAAAAATATATCACAATTCATCATAAGAAAATGTGTAAATGACATAAAAGTAGTAACATTTTAACAAGTTTGGAGTATAATTCTTTATCATAATTATAGATTAAAAAAGTTCTGATTATTTTCTTTAAAAGATTAACAAAACAATAAAGTTAAAACTGAGCTGTTAGCATTCTCCCAAAGTTTGAAATAGTTAAAATGGAATGTCAAGTTGTAACAATATAAAATGAAAAGAATCTGTGAATCTCAATTTGTTATAATGGACCCGGGGGTTTATAACCCATAACAGATGAAATGAGTACAAAATGGAAGCACTGGTGTGGAAATTGATCAGACCACAAATGAAAAAGTTTATCGATTAAAAAATGTTAATAAAACAGTTAATAAAACAGATTGAAATCAAACTATTAAAATGGACGTAAATATACATACATAATAAACAGAAAATACTTTCATAATGAGATCTATAATGTCTTCAGTACTGTATTACAAAAATTTAATCACCGGATTACCATTTCTTATCTTTATTTGCGCAAGACATTTGTTATATATTATCAAGGATTTTTTCCGATCCTTTCAAAAGCATTAACTTTTTCCATGCATTTTTTTTTTCAACTAGACATAATGTGTTTGGGATATGTTTACACTGTAAATGGTCTACAACCTGAACAATGATAACAAGACTGCACTAGAAATGTGTGATTCCATAAAAGTCACAGACAGTTCAATTCTGTATTTGCAACATCATCAGCAATGGTTATTTATTTACAAGACTTCTGAATCTGTACAATCACAGGAGCATATCAATGAGAATTTATAATATCTGTACAATTAAAATACAGAAAGGTTAATTAAAGTGTGAAATTCAATTTAAAAATATTATCTAAAATCTGTATAAACTACATCAGTCCACACATAAAATTATTCTTAATGGCAAAGAATTCGAAACAAGCTACCAATACAGTCGACGAGATCCGTAAATCCAGCCACGTTGTTCTACTATCCAGTTAGTGTTTTAGGGGATATATATGTAAATGGTTCCAGTAAGGTATTGCTCATAATCAAGATGCTTCAGTCGAGAATAAAGATGACTGGTTTATCTACTCAGAAAAACACACACTTTATTTTAAGTACTGGGACAGACGTAGCTAGATTTATCTACTGGAACTAAGGTGGCTATAGATTATCAATTTGGACAAATGTGACTGTATTATTTACCATGACCAAAACAGGCCAGATCATCTATTTGGAACAAGGCCTCAAGATAGCTGATTTTTCTACTGGGAACAAAGGTGGCTGAATTTTCTATTGGCAACAAAGGGGGCTGAATTTTCTACGGTGAACAAAAGGGGGCTGAATTTTCTACTGGGAACAAAAGGGGGCTGAATTTTCTACTGGGAACAAAAGTGGCTGAATTTCTACTGGGAACAACAGTAGCTGTATTTTCTATTGGGAACAAAGGTAGCTGGACCATCTCCTGGAAACAAAAGTGGCTGCTTCATCAAAGATCTTCTGTACTTAAAACATCTGCTCCACTACTTTAAAACCATATCTATAACACAGAATCCTCCCTAGTCGTGTTTAGAATGTTAATTGGTTTACATTATACATCAGGATATAATCTCATAAGCTTCAAAAATAATGTTAAATTTCAACAAGAGGCCCAATGGGCCTGCATTGCTCACCTGGTATTAATCTCACACTTGTAATCTTTAAAGTGGACTAAAATACAGCTACTGGCTTCGGGCCAGGTGAGCTAATAAATGATAATTTCATAAATGTTAAATCTGAAAATATAATCGTCCTGAAAATTTGATGGAATGTTACATTAAAGTTAACATACCTATATCTAGCTGGTTCAATATTATTGTCTTCTTACTTGACCTAAAGATATCCAGTCAAGAATGATGCCTATCATATCTATCTAAATTGACATATTAAATTTTCAGGATTCAAAAAAGATTTCTAATGAGTATCTTTCTGAAATATTAAATCAACATATGAGAATTTAATAACTTTGGCAAACAACTGTCACAAGTTATAGAATTCCTTTCTACCATTACCCATGAAACATTTGCTTTTATTGATTGACTAAACTGTAACAGAAACATTTCCTATTGGCAAGCTTCTATTTCGCCAATTTACATTGTAAATGTGACGTCATGTAGTAGTTGATGCTTTATTGTGACGTCATGGTTGAAAGTCATGAGGTCACAAGTTCTTATAGCCAATGGTATTGGTTGCTATGCATCCTATTTGAAGGTCATGAGGTCAAAAGACAAGGTCACAAGTTATCTCATAACTAATTAAACTGCTTACTACATGTTACACACACATGTGTTCATTGTAAAAATAATCAATGTTTAAGATCAGTAACATATGGCCTGAGCATGATCAAACACACTCATTAGTAATGGTAGAATAACAAAAACACTTTCCTAATAGCGATCTTTTTTCTCATTTTTATATTAACAACAGGTCAGAAATACTTCGGCAAGAATTCTCGTTTCAGCACCATGTTATGAGGTATGCGCGATACAAAATATAAAAGATGAAGAACTGAAAACACTTTGATGAGATATGCTTGTCTATCATTTCATCCCTTATATAGATTTATCTCTGTCTATAAAAACAACAAGGAAAAACTCCAGTGTCAAGAAAGCCATAATTAAAACTGAAATAAATAAAACTTAGGCAAAATATGGACAAAGGTCAATTTACATGGCAAACCTTGAAAATTTACAAGGAGAATTAAAGACCAGTTGTTCCATCAGAGTAGGCCGAAAAATAAAATTATAAGTTTGTTTGGCTTTGACTGACCAACTGGAGCTTTATGTACAAACCAGAAAAGTTCAAATCTTAATTCTACACTGTTATTGCTTATTATTGATACATGTAAATGTTGTGAAAAATTATTGCAAAATCGCGATTCAATCTTGGCACACTTCTAATGGTGTCAACTGGGGTAAACATCAACACAAAAGATCTTAAAACTCCAACTGGGGTAAACATCAGCACAAAAGATCTTAAAAGCAATTTTCTAATTACATGTACTACGTTTACCTTATCTCTGGGTATCCATGTCATGACTGCAAAGTATGTGTAACTCATAATACTTTACTTACATTGATATATACAAGAAAACCGCATGTTAAAATTACCTCGTATCAAGTATTACGTTTTTTTGGCGATGTAAAACTGACACTTAAAACAACTTATCACATCAATTGCATGCTTGTCTCTGATTAAAATGAATAAATAACCCGATCCGTTTTAATGCTGTCCCTTTTGAAGGTCAAAGATCATCACGTTTAACATCGAAAGTCATGGTCATCACAAAATTCAGTTCAATAATAATGACAAATACAATATATTTTTTTATGTAAAGGAAAGTAAACTTTGGATCAACGATTGTCTGGTCGAAGTTTGTCGTGAAGGTCACCATTGAAGGTCATAATGGTCATAATGGTCATAACATCCTCAGGGTGTGACAGAGAAATCTCCTACCTGAGGATACATGATTTTTGGAAGTCCAACCAAAGGCTCTGCCAAGGGTAAGACAATCGAATAATCACCCAGAGGGATTTCTCAGTTACGCTCTCTAGAAAGGGGATGATATTTTTCTCCATCTTTCCAATGCTATGTTTGAAAAAAAAAAAAAACTTTTCAGCATTGATTTTGTAATTTGTTTTTTATCCTGATTTGAACATGACCTCTCCTGTTTATAGTGACGTCATCTCTGATTGTTTCCACAATGTCATGGCATTGTTTATCTTCACGTTCTATCTGTTGTCATAGCGGGTGCGAATGGTGGGAGAAATGAAAGTTACAATTGGAGATTAGTATCTTCTGTATAAGTCATCCATGTTTTAGACCACTTTTCTAGGTTTGTAAAGGGCGTCAGCAGTGAATGAAAGTGGTCATAACGGATGTCTTGATTATTTAACTCTGTGATATAGTACTTCCATGTGTTTGATCTGTAAGAATATATAAATGTAAGATGATCTCCCGATCCCCAGACTTTCAGAGTTTGAAGTAAGATCAGTGGATGCACTTCAGAAACTACAAAAAAGGCACCACAATTTCCGCATCGAGCCATCAGAAATTGGAATGTTTCTAATTTCATGTCATCATGTCAATGTTCTCCCACTGTGATAGAAAGTTCTTACTTGCCCTGGACAGTTCCGTCATACATGTGTGGGAAGGAAAAAGTGACTTGTGCATGTACGAAATATAAGTATAACTGCCACGGGGTAAAGGATGGAACTGATAAGTAGTGGCAATTTTAAATCTGGTGCCAAGTACCTACATGTACACACCATTAGTTCTAGTACATATTCAAGGGACTTTGCTGGAGTGTTATAAAGAGAGTTAACTTCCAAGGCTAATGTATAGCCAGGTGTCAGTCAGTAAAATGGTCAGTTTGACCACTGGTCATTCTTATAGATCACAACTTGATTCCATAGTGTACCACACATACCAGGGGTCAGTAATGGTCAGTTTGACCACTGGTCACTCCTATAGATCACAACTTGATTCCATATTATACCACACATAGCCAGGGGTCAGTAATGGTCAGTTTGACCACTGGTCACTCTTATAGATCACAACTTGATTCCATATTATACCACACATAGCCAGGGGTCAGTAATGGTCAGTTTGACCACTGGTCACTCATATAGATCACAACATGATTCCATATTATACCACACATAGCTAGAGGTCAGTAATGGTCAGTTTCACCGCTAGTAACTCCCGACATATCACCAAACACTTTGCTGTATCACAAAATTTGAGGTCAGTAACGGTCCATTTTGGCCTTAATCTCTTCCTCTCCATCTTTCCCTTGCTCCTCCTTTATAGCACTTTTAATTTTTGCCCAGTTTTTCCGGGCTGGTGATTTCCCGGGATACATGGAGCTGCTGGTGCTAAATGTTCCCCTCGCACCTGTCAACAGTAAAGGAGTGTAATGTGACATTCATTGTTGTTCTTGTTAAGATTTGGTGATTTTGGTTTCATAAACAATGTCTTTTCTTTAACTTAATTCTAATTACAGGTTCCACTATCTAAATTATATATCACTCCACTTACTATTGTAATGTATGCTAGTTTTTACCCGTATTTGTACCAAATGTGTGTTACCTGTATAGTTACGTGTAAAGGATTGCGTCTTATTATGTGGGTTCATTCATGCGTATATATACCGCTGGCCGTGGGCCGGTCTCCCTCTCTCGGGGAGCAGACCAGCGACCAGCAAGTCATATTCAGGAGAGCGAGACAATAGAGCTAAACACTCGGTGACGTGAGGAAAACCACTGGACCAGAACGGCAGAGGGTTGACGTCGGCGGGTGGGCACGGGTTGTCGCCAGGTCACCGCAGGGGTGTTTGGGAACGCCAGAGCCTCTGGTTGGATCCTCCTCATGGCACCGAGTAAAAGTCACTATTATGACGTTAACGCGGCACAGAATGTATTGGGTACCCACATAATAGGTCGCACTATTCCTAAACGTTCTTGTCAATATTGCCTATGCTAATAAATGTTGTAAACGATCAGTTTAGTGTTGCGTATATATTTTGTCACGCTACAGACTCCAAGGATAGAAAACGTACGTCACTTTACGCTAGAACCTGGAAGGACAACAGTGGAGGACTAAGGACGTGAACCGTTACACTATCATAGCCCTTAGTGTCACATTTTGCTTTATACCAATTTCTGTTCCTGGTGATGTTGCCTGCTTTAACTCATCGACCCCTGGAGACACATTTGAGCTCTTCCGATTCAAAGGTTGGAATGGTTCATCATAAAATTTCAGGGGTGAATGAGTTAAAGTGAACTATATTTTACATATACTTCATTTGGACAGTCAACCAAAATAAAAGTTGTATGATGATGATGATGATGATGATGATAATCTTGTGATGTTGAGTGAAGATGGTGAATATTATGCTGAACCATGAGTAATTTGTAGTTGTCGTGTGTGTGTGTGGGTGTGTGGGTGTGTGTGTGTGTGTGAGAGTGCATGTGTATGTAAATGTCATGTTAAATGTATTGTAATTGTGGAGAAAAAAAACTTGAAAAAAAAATAAAAAAAATAAAAATAAAAAAGTGCCCATGCCACTGGAGGATTGGCAGCATAATTATGTGTTTCTTATCCTGTATTGGCAGATCTAGAGGATCACAAATTCTAAATAAATTTATAAAATGAATTTTTAATTTGTTTCACTGAAAGAGTACAAATTTAATATGTTGCCAACAACAATTTACCCTTTGAAATAAAACGGAATCATATCATATATGTTGCGTAACTCGCCATGTGTCATCGAGGATTTAAACAAGGTCTTACTAAAAAATACAAGTAACCCAAATTATCTCACAATGTTATATTTTTGAAATGATAGCAGGTAATTACATGAATTCTAAATGATTTATACATTTTAAAGCTATTTAACTTGTATTTCTAAAAAAAAAATTCAAGTTGGTAAGTATGGATTACATTTAGACAGGTTATATATCACAACCAGTAGGTGTTACCGTGTTACCGTGTCACCTTCATTAGATAAATATAGCATACGTACACCTTTCTCTGATTAAAATTGTTAAATATTATATAATGCAGGCTTATAATAACTTTGAAGTTAAATGCAGAAGTTCCTTTACCTTGGCGTGTTGACCTTCGTGGCCCACCAAACATAGATTCTGGCTCCTCATACTCGTCCTGTAGTCCTGACAGGTTGATCTGTTTCTCCTTACCAACTGTTAAACATTACAAAGACAAGTTATTATAAAATAACAGTAGATATCTTTTTATTGAATATACAGTGTACAACAAGGAGAGTTTTATGATTAAGAAACTTCATAAAAAAAACACAAAAAAAACCCCCTATTTCCGTAATAATGACCAAGAATGTGATTTTGTCTCACTACAGCAGAGACTAATAGAATATCTCGCCCCCTTGTGAGTGAGATAGGGGAATCTCAACCCGAGGGAGGAGATTTATTCAGTCGCCAAACACTTGGCACAGCCTCGTGTTTGGCAGCTTAAGAATCATTCCCCGAGGGTTGAGATTCCCCTATCTCACCCCCAAGGGGGTGATTGATTCTTTTTCTCTTACCATGTTCTCCTATTATGTATCATATACATATTGTAATGTTAACGTTACAGGTTAAATTCAGGGTTGACGTGACGTTGATGGATTGTTGACGTGACGTAATTGTATTGTTTAAGTGACGTCATACTATTGTTATGAATATGGGAATCCCCCCGTCTCAACCTTAGGGTGAGACAAGGAAATCTCACACCGGTAAAAGTGCGGATACACCTGTCCAGGGGAAGAGAAACTGGATATCTCACACCACCCAGGGGTGAGACAAGAAAATCTCACACCGGTAAAAGTGCGGATACACCTGTCCAGGGGAAGAGAAACTGGATATCTCACACCACCCAGGGGTGAGACAAGAAAATCTCACACCGGTAAAAGTGCGGATACACCTGTCCAGTGTAAGAGAAACTGGATATTTCACACCACCCAGGGGTGAGACAAGTAAATCTCACACCGATAAAAGTGCGGATACACCTGTCTAGGGTAAGAGAAACTGGATATCTCACACCACCCAGGGGGGAGACAAGGAAATCTCACACCGGTAAAAGTGCGGATACACCTGTCCAGGGGAAGAGAAACTGGATATCTCACACCACCCAGGGGTGAGACAAGAAAATCTCACACCGGTAAAAGTGCGGATACACCTGTCCAGGGGAAGAGAAACTGGATATCTCACACCACCCAGGGGGGAGACAAGGAAATCTCACACCGGTAAAAGTGCGGATACACCTGTCCAGGGGAAGAGAAACTGGATATCTCACACCACCCAGGGGTGAGACAAGGAAATCTCACACCGGTAAAAGTGCGGATACACCTGTCCAGGGTAAGAGAATCAACCATCCAGGCTGAATCATACACAGAAGGACAGTAACCAAGGGGACAAACACTCATTGAAGTTTCCTGAACCTAACAAAATGGTTTCCCATAATCCATTGACCGACAACGCTAGATGCGAAAGCATATAAAAATATAAGATCTGCTGACTAATAAAATGAGAGGCAGCAACACACTTCGTCACCACCACTCGTCTAGAGCTTCTGAAGAGATAGAGGTCATCGACCTAACAGCAGACAGATTCAGGTAGATATGCTCTGTTGCAATCCAGAGGGTCTGTCTCATCTAAAATGTCAGCTGAACCAGCTAGCAAAACAAAGGGAAATCAAGGCAAGGAAGCCACTTCAAGCTGAATCTATGCAGGCTCTCTTAAAACAAGAATTTCAAGTCGCGAAATGTTCAACTGCCTGGCAAAGAGGAGGTTGTAGCGAAACTGACATTTTGACACACCTAGCCTTTTGGAGTGAGTAGCACTGAGGACAGAATGAGGGGACATATTACCTGAAGGGCAGTAAAGCTATATTAGGTCCAGTGACGCCTGACAAGAGGGAGACTAAGCCCAATGGTTCCATCGACGGAATGCACTGGAGCCAAAATCAAGCCTTTGGAAACAGGCTGGTCCCATTGGTTGGAATTGACCAATGATTTTAATCTTTTGACTAAGCGTAATGTTTCTCATATGCCCCGCAAAGGTGTTTTACATCTTGGTGTCATTGCACTGCATCATGCCTTAATCAATTATGCCTTAACATATATAGATTACCATGATTCTGAGTTAAAAATTTAACTTTTTACAACAGCATGCAAAACAACTTCTATAAAATCATAGTAGGCCTAGATGGTAGCATGCAGTGCATAGGTCTTAGAGTGGGAGGAAACTGGAGTTTACGGGGGATAAAAAACCTGTGGTTTGGCAGATGACCCAATACCTTTCATATCCCATCAGAGAATCGAACCCTGGTCGTCTTGTTGAAAGGCGAGTGCGCTATCCACTGCGCCACACAACCAACCTTTCCGAAGAGTGATTCTGAGTTCCACTGAGCTACGTAGTATATGTAATATATGACTATGACCAGACTGCTAATCAATTGATGGCTTACCGAAGTTTTGTTCGTCCCAGCTGTATGACATGTTTCCTTTTATTTTTTCCCCTTTCTGCCTCAGATCCAATCTGGTTTTCCTCAGAGGGGCATCTATCCCCATCACGCCCTGTCGTAAATTCCGTTTCGACCAGTCTCTTGTCTTGTGCTGAAAAATTATCCGCAAAATGTCATATATAACAGCTCCCATTCCAGGCTCACAGTTCTGTGGTAAAGTCATAGGATCATGATGTTAAGGTTTTCACAAGAACGAAAATTAACAACGGTAAGGTCTATGGGGAACTACCATTGGCATCACAAGCTCCACTTAGATTTTCAAAATGAAATAAAATATAAGGTGTAGATATGGAAAACTTAAAATCAGAAATAATCAGTTTGTAAAGTCATTTGATCATAATGTTAAGGTTTTCACAAGAACGAAAATTAACAACGGTAAGGTCTATGGGGAACTACCATTGTCATCACCAGCTCCACTTAGATTTTCAAAATGAAATAAATTATAAGGTGTAGATATGGAAAACTTAAAATCAGATATAATCAGTTTGTAAAGTCATTTGATAGCAAATGTGACATCATTGTCAGTATTCATTTACAAATTTGCTCCTAGTATTTTCATCAAACAGTAATTATAAAATACTAACATCACTGAGGGGAACACATTAAATCCATGACATGACAGAAGAGATTTTATTAATGATTTAATAAGAAAAACAAAAAGTGAATTTTCTTAAATTATCCATGATCCTAAAGAATGTTATATGGGGAGATTTTTAAGCAATCTTATGGCAAAATACAGTATTAGGCAGAAGATTAAAGTTGACTTTGGATTAATCCTTTAACATAAATTATCTGGCATAGAAAATTTCAAATGTGATTATTACTAAGTATATCACATAATTACAACATGCTACCTACTACCCAACTGTACAATGGTACAAAGCCACTGTATGTTTAACTTTCACATAATCACAACATGCTACCTACCACCTAGCTGTACAATGGTACAGAACCACTGTAGGTTTAACTTTCACATAATTCCAACATGCTACCTACCCCCCAGCTGTACAATGGTACGAAGCCACTGTATGTTTAACTTTAACATAATTACAACATGCTATCTACCACCCAGCTATAAAATGGTACAGAACCACTGTAGGTTTAACTTTCACATAATTCCAACATGCTACCTACCCCCCAGCTGTACAATGGTACGAAGCCACTGTATGTTTAACTTTCACATAATTACAACATGCTACCTACTACCCAGCTGTACAATGGTACAAAGTCACTGTATGTTTAACTTTCACATAATTACAACATGCTACCTACCACCCAGCTATAAAATGGTACAGAACCACTGTATGTTTAACTTTCACATAATTACAACATGCTACCTACCACCCAGCTGTACAATGGTACAGAGCCACTGAATGTTTAACTTACTCTGATCTCTGCCTCTTTCCTTCTTTTCTCCTCCTCAACTTTATCCTCTTTCTGAAGCACTGTCATCTCAGCCAGCATCTGCTGAACCTGGTTCTTTACTGTAAGTGACAAAAAGTGATTTTGTCATGAGATTTTTTTAATTTTTTTTCAGAGAACTGCAAAAACAAACCAAAATTATATGAGAATTGTTTGGGAAGCCATTTTGTTTCTGTCAGTGTGATGTTTGATATTCCACTACACACACAAATCACAACCTTGACAATGGTTGTGACTTAATCGCTAAAATAAGAATTATTCTTTTCATAGACCTTGCAAACACAACAATTTAACAACCAATAAATAACAGTTAGCCTTATCATTCATTGATTGTTAAAAGATTAAATCATTCACCCCTGAAATTTCATAATGAACTATTCCAACCTTTGATTTTGAAGAGTTAAAATGTGTCTTCAGGGTTGAATGAGTTCAACTTTTCTTTTTACAACAGAAAAAATGCTAAAACTTACTTCCCCATAGTAAAGGTAAAACTGATATTTACTGATTCCAATTTTAGCCAATCAGAGTGTAGGTGTGCATTCAATTAATTCAAATCAGTGGAAATGATTGAAAATGGTGTTTCAAGCAAAATTTTTCAAAAATTTCAGATATGATTTATAAGATAAACTGACCACTTGGATCCTTCAGCCGTCCTAGGGCGGTGACGTTGATGACCAGTAACCAACAAGGCGTAGCAGTGAGTTCTCTCTCGTCCTTTACAAAACTGATACCCACAATGCTTTGGTGCTGCAGAAGGCTTATGTGTTCGTCATAGCAACCCTGTTTCAGCTTAATAGCCATCTGACTCCGGAGTTCATCCATGTCAAAAATCTTCAAATACATTACATCCAATCTCATGATATAATTCTGAAACTTTTGCAGTTTCAAAAGAGTTCAAACTTTGGGCTGCATTATTTCAGAACAATGAAATTGCATTTGTTTGCATTTTAACTATACTGTAAGTAAGATACAGATATGGATGGGCTTATTACCAGGCATGGTATTATTGCTGGATAAAACTGTGCATGTAATGATAACACTCAAGCATATCTCAGTTAATGCCAATAAATACATCCTAAAGGCCATATCCGACATCCATGGGACAGACAATATTAGTCAGTTTAACCTGTATAATCTGACACCATATGAGACAACCACTATAAGTCAGTTTAATCTGTCTAATCTGACACCATTTGAGACAGACAATATCAGTCAGTTTAACCTGTCTAATCTGACACCATTTGAGACAGACAATATCAGTCAGTATAACCTGTCTTATCTGACACCATTTGAGACAGACAATATCAGTCAGTTTAACCTGTCTAATCTGACACCATTTGAGACAGACAATATCAGTCAGTTTAACTTGTCTAATCTGACACCATTTGAGACAGACAATAATAGTCAGTTAAACCTGTCTAATCTGACACCATTTGAGACAGACAATACAAGTCAGTTTAACCTGTCTAATCTGACATCATTCGAGACAGACAATATCAGTCTAATAAGACAGTATGTCAGTATACACGGGTCACATTAGAAATGACAATACAGTTACTGTTGTAAATGTTGGATAAGACAGGATGTCAGTATACACGGGTCACATTAGAAATGACAATACAGTTACTGTTGTAAATGTTGGATAAGACAGGATGTCAGTATACACGGGTCACATTAGAAATGACAATACAGTTACTGTTGTAAATGTTGGATAAGACAGGATGTCAGTATACACGGGTCACATTAGAAATGACAATACAGTTACTGTTGTAAATGTTGGATAAGACAGGATGTCAGTATACACGGGTCACATTAGAAATGACAATACAGTTACTGTTGTAAATGTTGGATAAGACAGGATGTCAGTATACACGGGTCACATTAGAAATGACAATACAGTTACTGTTGTAAATGTTGGATAAGACAGGATGTCAGTATACACGGGTCACATTAGAAATGACAATACAGTTACTGTTGTAAATGTTGGATAAGACAGGATGTCAGTATACACGGGTCACATTAGAAATGACAATACAGTTACTGTTGTAAATGTTGGATAAGACAGGATGTCAGTATACACGGGTCACATTAGAAATGACAATACAGTTACTGTTGTAAATGTTGGATAAGACAGGATGTCAGTATACACGGGTCACATTAGAAATGACAATACAGTTACTGTTGTAAATGTTGGATAAGACAGGATGTCAGTATACACGGGTCACATTAGAAATGACAATACAGTTACTGTTGTAAATGTTGGATAAGACAGGATGTCAGTATACACGGGTCACATTAGAAATGACAATACAGTTACTGTTGTAAATGTTGGATAAGACAGGATGTCAGTATACACGGGTCACATTAGAAATGACAATACAGTTACTGTTGTAAATGTTGGATAAGACAGGATGTCAGTATACACGGGTCACATTAGAAATGACAATACAGTTACTGTTGTAAATGTTGGATAAGACAGGATGTCAGTATACACGGGTCACATTAGAAATGACAATACAGTTACTGTTGTAAATGTTGGATAAGACAGGATGTCAGTATACACGGGTCACATTAGAAATGACAATACAGTTACTGTTGTAAATGTTGGATAAGACAGGATGTCAGTATACACGGGTCACATTAGAAATGACAATACAGTTACTGTTGTAAATGTTGGATAAGACAGGATGTCAGTATACACGGGTCACATTAGAAATGACAATACAGTTACTGTTGTAAATGTTGGATAAGACAGGATGTCAGTATACACGGGTCACATTAGAAATGACAATACAGTTACTGTTGTAAATGTTGGATAAGACAGGATGTCAGTATACACGGGTCACATTAGAAATGACAATACAGTTACTGTTGTAAATGTTGGATAAGACAGGATGTCAGTATACACGGGTCACATTAGAAATGACAATACAGTTACTGTTGTAAATGTTGGATAAGACAGGATGTCAGTATACACGGGTCACATTAGAAATGACAATACAGTTACTGTTGTAAATGTTGGATAAGACAGGATGTCAGTATACACGGGTCACATTAGAAATGACAATACAGTTACTGTTGTAAATGTTGGATAAGACAGGATGTCAGTATACACAGGTCACATTAGAAATGACAATACAGTTACTGTTGTAAATGTTGGATAAGACAGGATGTCAGTATACACGGGTCACATTAGAAATGACAATACAGTTACTGTTGTAAATGTTGGATAAGACAGGATGTCAGTATACACGGGTCACATTAGAAATGACAATACAGTTACTGTTGTAAATGTTGGATAAGACAGGATGTCAGTATACACGGGTCACATTAGAAATGACAATACAGTTACTGTTGTAAATGTTGGATAAGACAGGATGTCAGTATACACGGGTCACATTAGAAATGACAATACAGTTACTGTTGTAAATGTTGGATAAGACAGGATGTCAGTATACACGGGTCACATTAGAAATGACAATACAGTTACTGTTGTAAATGTTGGATAAGACAGGATGTCAGTATACACGGGTCACATTAGAAATGACAATACAGTTACTGTTGTAAATGTTGGATAAGACAGGATGTCAGTATACACGGGTCACATTAGAAATGACAATACAGTTACTGTTGTAAATGTTGGATAAGACAGGATGTCAGTATACACGGGTCACATTAGAAATGACAATACAGTTACTGTTGTAAATGTTGGATAAGACAGGATGTCAGTATACACGGGTCACATTAGAAATGACAATACAGTTACTGTTGTAAATGTTGGATAAGACAGGATGTCAGTATACACGGGTCACATTAGAAATGACAATACAGTTACTGTTGTAAATGTTGGATAAGACAGGATGTCAGTATACACGGGTCACATTAGAAATGACAATACAGTTACTGTTGTAAATGTTGGATAAGACAGGATGTCAGTATACACGGGTCACATTAGAAATGACAATACAGTTACTGTTGTAAATGTTGGATAAGACAGGATGTCAGTATACACGGGTCACATTAGAAATGACAATACAGTTACTGTTGTAAATGTTGGATTATACAGTATGATTAATGGTGTTAATTGTTACCTTGACCGCTTCACCAAGAGGTAAATGACCATTGTGTTTCAGGACATCTTCGGAAAAGCAGTGATTAGCGGGATCATACCAATCCTTGACCACAATGTCATTTTTATCAATTTTGGTTGCAAAGATACTGCCGTCATCATCTCTCTTCAACTTCAAACCCTGTAATACGAAAACAGTCATGGTCTTTATCTTACCGTAACAGCGATCCTGCATTTTAAGGCAACCATCATTTTTGTCTTTTCGCTAACTCAAGCCGGCAATAAAAGTAACCATCATGTCAAGGCCATCATCTCGGCTTAACGATATAAAACAAGGCAAAATACCACAAGCACCGGCCATTGGGGCATTTATCATATTCAGACTTAACAATTTAATGCAAAAAAAATGTTTGTTTCAGGTAACATGCCTGAATAAATAAGGTAGGATAGTAGGCAAGTAATTTTATTTTAATATTAATTTTTGATTTTCGTAAATTAATATTATGCTTTATTTCAAATTTTACAGTGCATTTCCACACATTACTATGGCTATTAATTTGTCAAGAATAAGGTCAGACTCCCAGAACTGGAAGAAAGTACTTTTTAATGAGTGGCTGTGAACTTTACAAGTAGGTGATAAAATATCTAGGGTCAGCAGTAAAATGTAGGATAGATCGGGATACCTGAAACACACATTATTTGTTTTTTGACCTAATAACAAAACATACGTCCCAAGGTATTAAAGTTTAGCAAGTGTGGTGAAGTAGTAATGGGATGTAAAACATGCTTGCCAACTTTTTGAAATTTCCATGGGGGAGATAATGTGTGTTCAGAATTAAAAGCACAAATAAAATAAATTGTGTGTATGTTAAAGTCCCACTTCTTGACCTTGCCAAGTTGCTAATGTGTGATCCAAATTTCAGGACCGAAATAACTTACACCCTAGGTAAAAATAATACCATGAAAGAGCATCTTTTGAGCTGTTCTTTCAGATGACATCATCAGATCTTAGAAAAAAGGAATAATTTAGCGAATTAATTGGTTGAAAATGCTCAGTTTTGGGGTAAAAAATTGGGGGTCTCCCTGCAAAATAGGGAGAGTTGGCAAGTATGGTAAAATTCACTAAATGCAGCATTTCAGGAAAAGTGTGAATGGATGGATGAACAGACAGGCAAGAATACAGGTAAACCCTTGTCACTCGAGATAAATTAGCAACTTCTTTATAACATGTCCTTTCAGTAAGACGTAGATTACTGTGTTTACCTTGCCGATGTAGCTCCTATACTCCTCTGTAACAGAGTCTCGCCCCGGGTTTCTGAACACACCCAGTCCAATCCTAGATAAATGAAATAAAAAGCTGTTCAGTTAGTATTTCTTTTAACAATGGTATTAAAGAAAAAATCACCTAATCAATTCAGAAGCAATGCCATGACTATTTATTTTTGTATTCAACGAATCTGACGCCCTTGTTTTAATTTTAAAGCCCAATCCTAATTATATTGGGTCTAATTAGGAGAGCAGTGAGTGTCTGCACTTTGTTCACATTCTAGGGTATAAATTGTATGTATCCTCTGATATGTCACCCATTCTAGGGTATAAATTGTATGTATTATCTGATATGTCACCCATTCTAGGGTATACATTGTATGTATCCTCTGATATGTCACCCATTCTAGGGTATACATTGTATGTATCCTCTGATATGTCACCCATTCTAGGGTATAAATTGTTTGTATCCTCTGATATGTCATCCATTCTAGGGTATAAATTGTTTGTATCCTCTGATATGTCATCCATTCTAGGGTATAAATTGTATGTATCCTCTGATATGTCACCCATTCTAGGGTATAAATTTCATGTATCCTCTGATATGTCACCCATTCTAGGGTATAAATTGTTTGTATCCTCTGATATGTCACCCATTCTAGGGTATACATTGTATGTATTATCTGATATGTCACCCATTCTAGGGTATAAATTGTTTGTATCCTCTGATATGTCACCCATTCTAGGGTATAAATTGTATGTATCCTCTGATATGTCACTCATTCTGGGGTATACATTGTATGTATCCTCTGATATGTCACCCATTCTAGGGTATAAATTGTATGTATCCTCTGATATGTCACCAGTTAAGAAACTTAAAACGGAAAGTCACATACATCAACTACTTCAGCAATGTATGCCTCGTATATCTTCCACATGAAAAAATATCACAAAACTCATAAAAAAAGCACCAGACTTAAAAATAATTATGAAAGCACACAGCTACCTGCGTTGCAGACAATGTGTACAAAGTTTCATAAATATTGGTTAAAAACCTTAGTAGAACTTACTTAGTACAAAATTTGTGAACACAAATAAGAGAAGGGGCATATAACTCCCATGGAAAAGGCAAAATTAAAAATAAATCCCAAGAACAAAACTGTCTAAGGTATTGACGTTCTAGACAAGTGTCATAAAGATCAGTGTGGAAGGTGTTAGTCAGCAGGGACATCACTCCAGACAAATTCAACGAAATCAGAAATAAATTTCAAACACAGAACTACCTGTAATGAGGTATTAATCATATGTACCAGGTTTCGTACATTTGTTTTAGAAGGTAAATGGTGATTTGTTTGACAAACTCTAGACAGATGGACGAATCAGATAGCCTTACTTCTTTGGAGGGGGATGGATCAGATAGCCTTACTTCTTTGGAGGGTGACGGATCAGATAGCCTTACTTCTTTGGAGGGTGACGGATCAGATAGCCTTACTTCTTTGGAGGGTGACGGATCAGATAGCCTTACTTCTTTGGAGGGTGACGGATCAGATAGCCTTACTTCTTTGGAGGGTGACGGATCAGATAGCCTTACTTCTTTGGAGGGGTACGGATCAGATAGCCTTATTTCTTTGGAGGGGGACGGATCAGATAGCCTTATTTCTTTGGAGGGGGACGGATCAGATAGCCTTCCTTCTTTGGAGGGGGATGGATCAGATAGCCTTACTTCTTTGGAGGGGGTCGGATCAGATAGCCTTACTTCTTTGGAGGGGGTCGGATCAGATAGCCTTACGTCTTTGGAGGGGGACGGATCAGATAGCCTTACTTATTTGGAGGAGGACGGATCAGATAGCCTTCCTTCTTTGGAGGGGGATGGATCAGATAGCCTTACTTCTTTGGAGGGTGACGGATCAGATAGCCTTACTTCTTTGGAGGGTGACGGATCAGATAGCCTTACTTCTTTGGAGGGTGACGGATCAGATAGCCTTACTTCTTTGGAGGGTGACGGATCAGATAGCCTTACTTCTTTGGAGGGTGACGGATCAGATAGCCTTACTTCTTTGGAGGGGGACGGCTCAGATAGCCTTACTTCTTTGGAGGGGGTCGGATCAGATAGCCTTACGTCTTTGGAGGGGGACGGATCAGATAGCCTTCCTTCTTTGGAGGGGGATGGATCAGATAGCCTTACTTCTTTGGAGGGTGACGGATCAGATAGCCTTACTTCTTTGGAGGGGGAAGGATCAGATAGCCTTACTTCTTTGGAGGGTGACGGATCAGATAGCCTTACTTCTTTGGAGGGGTACGGATCAGATAGCCTTATTTCTTGGGAGGGGGACGGATCAGATAGCCTTGCTTCTGTGGAGGGGGACGGATCAGATAGCCTTACTTATTTGGAGGAGGACGGATCAGATAGCCTTCCTTCTTTGGAGGGGGATGGATCAGATAGCCTTACTTCTTTGGAGGGTGACGGATCAGATAGCCTTACTTCTTTGGAGGGGTACGGATCAGATAGCCTTATTTCTTTGGAGGGGGACGGATCAGATAGCCTTACTTCTTTGGAGGGGGTATACTAAGTGATATAAGCTGTGGGTTCTAGTTTCCTACTAAGAGTACTGTGACTTAAATATCTAAATAGTAAAATTATTGAACTTATTTTTCATAATTACAGTCTTATTTAAATATACTGGAGTTAGAGTATCTCACAAACTATCTCTACCAAACAAAGAACCTGTCACCTTCGTCAAAGGATAAACCTACCGCTCTCCATCAAACTCCTCATAGGACATGTCGATGTTGACCTCTCGGTCAAGTATGTAGAATTTGGCCACTGGACGGTCGTACTCCATGTACAGAATCTTACACCAGATATCTGGGTCAAGCTCCCCCCACTTCTGTAATAACTGGTTCAGGTGGTTCTGCAAAAAAAGGTCAAGGTCGATGAAATATAATTTACAGGTCAAGCACATGGGAAAGATATATCATGAAGGTCAAGACCCCTTTACTATTGATGTTGCTGTTTCACATGGTTCAATGAATAAAGGTCAAGGTCAATTCAATACAACTAACAGGACATGGAAAAGTTAGATAAAGTTTAAAGTCCCCGTTAATTCTGATATAGCTGGTTTAGGTGGTTTTAGAAATATAGGTCAAGCTAAAGGTCAATACAATAAGAAGGACAAAAATCCAGGTTAAAATATATGCAAGTTAAGGTCACCTTTCTACAGTTATTGGTTCAACAAGGTCGAGGTCCATATAACACAAATAACAGGTCAAGGTCAGAGGAAAGATAAATTTAGGTAAAAGTCCCCCTTTCATCTCATAGGTGGTTCAGGTAGTTCTCAAAATATAGGTCAAGCTAAATAAAATACAATTTACAGGTCAAGGTCAGGGGGAAAATACAGGTAGTGTAAGCGCCCCTCCAAAACATCTGTAGAAGCCTGTTCAGGTGATTCTAAAAACAAAGGTCAAGGTCCGAGTAATATGAAGGTCAGGTTATATATAGTAGAACAAAATCACTGCATCTTCATCAGCATAATTTTTTAAACCTTTTTTTTTTATACAGTAATAATGGTTATGGGGAAGAAATTATAATGCCTTTCCAAGTTGATAATTTACCTGATACACAAATCCTGAACTTTCCTTTTGGGCACGTTGACCTTGAACAAGATCATCTGGAATCCGACGACCTTGAAAATGCTCTTGGTGACTAGGTAGTTGTTTGGAATATGGGCTAAAGTAATCTGGACTGAATACAGAAAGGATAGAGTGTAGATGTATCCTGTTACAAACAACAGAAGTAGATCAACCCCCTGTATAGTCAAGAAAACACAAAACTAAACAGGAAATAGTGCTTTGGTTGTATGCAAGTGAATGCAAGGCATTTTAAGGCAAAGTGAAAGAACTTTATTTCTCAACAACTAATCGCTTTAATGAACAATTAAAACAGTAATTGACAACATCAGAGACTAATGCACAATCTACCACACATAATGCCCTTTTCATCATTGGTCAATAGATTATGCACATATCCCAATAATACATATATACTTAAGCAATTCAGTTCAATAATCCACCCGAATATACTATTGAAGTGTACAATTCTTGTAAACAAAAAACGTCATATGGTCTTTTAAACAAGCATGTACATGTTTGTGATCAATCAACAAATTATAAAAATCTTCTGTAAATCATAAAAATCAATTCCATGTAAACCCAAAATCGTGTACTGTCACATTTGATATGGTAGAATAGATATAATCAAAAGATGTCTGTATAATATTATTATGGAGTATATTATTCAGGTTTAAAAAGAGTCAGAAAAACTATTTAACAAACTCAAGCAAAAATAAATTCCATAAGATGCACATATATTGATAACCGGTATATCTTAAAATAAGTTGAAAACGAATAACTCTAAAACATATAAAACGTAAACATACCTCGGAGAATCATAGTCTTCCTCTATGTGATAATAGCCATGATTGGTTAAGTGGGCAGTGGGTGGAGCCTCATATCTCTCCCTCTGACGTTTCCGGGCTGCCTCCAACTGTATAATAACATGCATGTATTACATTTTTGTTTTATTCTCAAGTTAATTGGGATTCTACCCATTATCTTTTGCTTTTGAACTTGATAATACAGCAAAGTATGTATTTCGAAAGGTGTGTTTTCCCATGATTTTTCCTTATCTTTCATATGTTTCATTGACTAGATCATCATGCACAATGCCTGTAAGCACTAACTGGCTATTTTTCAGATTTAACCTCATCTAGTTGAGTGACATGACGGTCATGAAAGAATTTAGTTATTTACATTTCTTTAAATCTTGTTGGTACACTCTATTATCGACTTTGGAACTTCACTTTGACTAAAGGCGTCAGACCTTCTTCTGAATTTTGATTTTAAACAGGCTGTCAGTACAAAGATGATGCAGTGATATCAAATATGGCAACTTCTTGACACATTAGATTATTTTTTTTACATTTGTGTGATAAATTTTCAAGTAGAAAGCCATTTGAGTTATGGTTGTGTTTAGTAATTTTTTAGGTAGAAAAAGCCATTTGAATCATACTTGTGAAAAGATTCATGTAGCACAACCAAAAAGTGTTTATATGTGACGTTTCGATGACTAGTACTGTATGTGCTGTGTCACCTTCATCAGACAAATGACCAGTGAAGCGTATGAACACAAAGGTGTAAAATATGTGCGAGTTGTCCACATATTGATGATAATTGGCTAAGCTGTAAGCGTATGTACAATTAGTTGTTAAATATGTACCGAAATGACTCGATGACTCGTTTTGTTTGAATGATACTTGTGTGAAGTAATTTTTTATGTAGATAGCCATTTGAATCATACTTGTGTGAAGTAATTTCAAAGGTCGACAGACATCCGAGTCTTACCTGCGTTTGGAAGTTGAGTTTATCATGGTCATTGCTCGACACCAACATGTGAAACACCTTGGAGTTTTCACGTGACAGGAAATCGCCGAAATTGGCCAACATATCTTGGTGTTTGTGAGATTGTTTTCGTTGTGATAGAAACCGTTGCCTAGCAACAAATGTCCGTACTACACTCTGAATTGTCACCAGTTCCTCCATCATCACATCCAGACACAGATTCAGTTTGTCAGTCTGCCAGTACCGAAGAAACACCTGCAAAAGGGAAACAACATTCTAATAGTCAGCTAAAAATTATCCCTTCACCAAATTCTTCCTTAATCAGAAATGTATCTGTTAGAATATTGGCGCTATATTTACAAAAAGTTCTACTAGCTTTTCATATTGAAAAAAAAATAACAATAATGCTTTCAATTTTGAACTTATAGCAAGTTAATGCTGAAAAATCAGGTTGATACCATTTTTATATATGAGAGAAACATACTTCATTAATTGTTTTTAAAAGAAATATGTCACTTCACAAATAAGTTGTATATTCAAATTGCTAATTCTTTTTCTCGCAAAAGTGTGCAAATTGTATTTACTTTTCATATCTGATTATACCTTATATTATTCAATCTAACGTATAAAGCAGCTGACTAGTAAAATACTACGTGTCACAGAAACTGTATCAAGACAATGCCAATGATGGTCACTGGATGGCCAGATAAGAATAGTGAAGACTTAAAAGAGAATTTCTGTGTAAATTTTCTCCATTGTGTTTTTAATCAAGGGAGCTAACTCCTGACCTTCGTATTTCCGAGCTCGCAGTCCAGGATGTCTGTAGCCTGAAGGATGCGCAGACAGGCATTCTTCATGAATGACGGTTCTATGACAGCGGTGGCAGGGAGGCCTATAAATTTGTACCTGGAAATTATACAGATATCAACACCATTATTATGACTTATACAATAATAGTACGTCTACATCAATTCTGACCGCACTTTTAATCCTTTTTTATGAGCACCCTGGGTTCTTATTGCAGCGAATACGGTAATCCATATTATCATCCAAACAGATGGAGTGACAAGCAAGGCTATTATACGTGTCTTGCTGGAGTAGACAACTTCATCCCCTTGTCTTCAGGATCTGAACTTCAGATCTTGTGGTCAGTTCACACACTGCTGGCTGAGCATGCTGACCGCCCCCCTTAAAACCTGTCATTGACAAGGAAACTTACCTGTCCACAAACACATGGTGAGGTAATCGCGTCGGAAAGCCTTGTTTCCGTATCCGAGTGGTTTCCAGGACACCAGTACTCCTGAGCTGGGTCAGGATCAACTTGCCATCAAAGTTGTCGGGACTCTGATTAGCATTGGGCTTCAGGCACCTAAGATATTATATGAATAATCACCAAAAATAAAATAATTCTGTTACATGAAAACAGTAATCTACCCTTATTCGATTAATTTTCTAAGAAAAATGTTTTCCTATTTAGTTTCTGGATTATCACATTTTTAACATAACAAAACAAAAAATGCCTTTAGCTTTAATTAAACATATTTTTTGGTAACCCCAGTACGCATGTCTATAAATAGAGTGCATATAGTTGAGTCAGGTTCACTTACAGTAAGTTTTAGCACACTGGATACCCAAAATGGAACACCTTATCAAATATGTCAGTTTTTGAAAATAAAGGACTGTATTTGAAATATATTTCTTTATTTCAAGTAAGTTTTGGCCCTTTCTGATAAATTCATTTGAACAATGTTTTGTCATGTTTAGAAATTTGTTAGGCAACTTATTTTGCTGCACCATACTTTTTCCTGGATTTTTTATTTTCATTTCATTCTTTTTAATTTCCATTTGAGTTTAAGTGAACAAAATACATGAGGTAGGCATGTAAAATTTGCTCCAATAGAATAGATGCCATTCCGTTGTATCGCAAAATAAAAATGCTGCATCATATATGTATCTATATGAAAAGTGTTCCATTTAGGGTACCATTCCATTTTAGTACCCCTCGATTTTCTCATTAATTGTTATGATAAAAAATTAAGATCTGTTACAAGACCAATTGATGTGAAATTTGTTTACTGTATAGCAGTTACATTTCGCGGGTGTTTTAATTTTGCTATATTCGCACTTTGACTTACATCTGCGGATACTAAACACCAGCGAAATTATCGAAAATGTTAACCACTTTTACGGACCTTATAACAACATGTTGAAAATACTTATAACCCAACGCTGTTATGCAAGCTTAAATAAACTCATATCAGATTATCACCGGACAACTGGACAGTCCATGTAAAAATAACACTTACATTTAAGTGGCCGCAACATATTTATGTGTACACAGTATGTGATTAAATGATTACAGTTTAATCCTACAAAGGTATATACACATTTGATTTTCTTTCGAGTGAAGTCACAGGCGGATGACGACGCTCGGGATCAGTGTTTTCAAACGGTTTACCTGTATTCCGAGGTAAAACCCTTAAATGATGATACTCAAAATACTTCGCATGACACATGGGATTCGGGTGCACAGCGAAATTTGGGAATATGTACTGAATAATTGAAAACGCGAAATATCGATCCTGCGAATTCAAAGCGCTATACAGTAATATGATTTACACCATGAGGCCTGTTTTTCTTCTCTAATTATCATGGAAGCATTCAAACATAGCTTGGTTGTGCAAAGGGACATATTAAATGGAGGCCCCCGATAGAATACTTATAAAGTATGATTAAGTAAAAAACACCTATCTAGTGAGATGCAAGAAAAAACTCAATTAACTGCAACTGACTCAGATTAGTGCAAGGAAGAATACATTTTTCGCTTAAACTTTCAGTCTTGGCCTATTAAAGCTATGTAACTGAGGTGCAAGCTAAAAATCACTATGTTAGAGGTCATAAACTTATTAAGTCAGTCTATAATACATTGGCTACATTGTGTTTGTAACGTAACAAACCTTATGAAATGGGGTTCAGAGGAGGTCAACTTCTCCACTAATTCTGCCAGAGACACCTGAAATGATAAAGATTTGATTCCTAACAAAACATTGAGCTAGTTTCATACGACAGAAATCCTAGGACGCCAGTCTAACAAATCATTACTTCTCACAAATGCAGGTACTCTTTTGTACAGCTGTGCAGATACAGAAACAATCAGAACAACATGTTATTTTGTTCACAGACACAACAAACAAGGTACCGACAATGGCCAGGTCAAATATTCCTAATCTTGTTTTAAAAGCCTACTTTTCTGCAACATTATCATTGTTGTTATTTTAATTTTGTTTGTTCAGAATCTGGAGTTGAAACAGTGGAATCTAGTTATCCTAAATATTTGTAGTTCTAGAATTTTTATTTTACTTTTTCTTATCATTAATATGATCACACTGCATGAGTGCTTCAGAACTTAATTAGTTTTGAGACAGATTTGTTTGTTCATAAGTTCAGTGTCTGAAGTAACAAAGTTACAGTCAGTGAATAAACATGTTCTAAATCTACAGCAAGGAACTCAACTGAGGTACAGGCATCGCGAGACACGCTCAGATAATTTACCCTGAAGTGAGCACTGGTGGTGTTTTTTGGCGGCCCCGTCATTTGCTGTTGTCTCTCTCGACTCGCTCTGTAACGGTAAAAGATATTTTTACAATGCAATGCAGTTGAACAACATCTACCCAATGTAGGGAAATACCAGCAGTATGACAACTGACTCAGTCTTCAGCAATGGTTTTGACAAACATACAAACACAAAATAATTCCTCAATCACACATGTATTCAATACTATGGCAACCATACTTCCACAAATGGCTGCCCAACAGATCAAATTACTTTATGACCGTAATATCAAAGTTTTACTTTCTACACAAACAATGTTGTATTAAACATGTCCCAGCATTTCAAGACCGACTGGTCTCTTTGTCAAGCTATGACTGAGTGAGCAATTTGTATTTTGTATTACCGTGATGTGACAAAGTTGTATGTATTTTTTTAATTCGTACATTGTTTGTGTAGAAAGTAAAACTTTGAAATTACATAGTTACAAACTGATGAATCTTACTGAGGATATCTTATGACCTTACTTGTTATAAGGGTCCAGAACAAGTTACCTTCAGTACAGGGAAATTGAACTTCCCCCTTACAAGCACACTGGAGCTAAAATTCTGTCAAACACTTTAGACCTCAGGGCCAACGGAATGTAGCTGGTCACCCTATACACCACTATGTTCCTATTATTAAGGTAACATATTAGGAGAAATTAAGCTTAGATGACCATTATATTTAGGACAATGACTGACCCTACCACATATACATACTTTTCCTTAAGCCGGCGTCCTACTTGTCGTGACAGACTGTCCCCAGGTCCAAAGGCTTGACGCTGTGGGAGTGACCATTCGGGGGCTGACCAAGAGTGGTCTCCCTTTGTAGAGACACTTCAGGAAGAAAATTTTTAATGAGCATAAAATTAAAACAACATACAGAATTTATTGATAAACTTTTAATTTTTGACTTGTGAAAAAACATTACTTAAATATAGCATGCAACATTTTATCTACGAAATTTCTGCAGCTCTGCTATTTCCCATGAATGGTCATTATAAATGGAAGCTATAGAGTAAAGATTAATGACATTTTCCAACCAGGAAAATAAAATGCTGCATATACTAAGAAACAAAGGTGTATCAATACATACATTGTATAGGTAATAAGTTGTGTCATATATATTCTGATAAAGTAAACATTGAGTTTACAATATGGAAGAATGAAATAATGATTCTTTTACAAATGAAAGCTGACAATAAATATTGTAAAAGTTACCTATTCTGAGTACAAACATTTACTATCCTGTAATGCTGAACAATAGCAGTACATATATGTACATACCATACCTGTATGTATCTTAGCTAATTGAAGAACACTGAACACTTGTACATACACCCGGTATACTTTTCGTGAGTCAGACTTCGACCGAAATCAACTGAAAACTGAACATTTGTACATTTGAAATACCTGTGTTAGAGTCAATCCTGACTCCATCAATTGGACATTGATTCGTTATATTTACTTACTGTGAGTCGAGACGTCCCGAGTCTGTTTCTTGAACACTGAACATTGATACAATATATATACTTACTGTGAGTCGAGACGTCCCGAGTCTGTTTCTTGAACACTGAACATTGATCCAATATATATACTTACTGTGAGTCGAGACGTCCCGAGTCTGTTTCTTGAACACTGACCATTGATACATTATATATACTTACTGCGAGTCAAGACGTCCCGAGTCTGTTTCTTGAACAATGAACATTGATACATTATATATACTTACTGTGAGCCAAGACGTCCCGAGTCTGTTTCTTGTACATTGAACATTGATACATTATATATACTTACTGTGAGTCGAAACATCCCAAGTCTGTTTCTTGTACACTGAACATTGATACATTATATATACTTACTGTGAGCCAAGACGTCCCGAGTCTGTTTCTTGTACATTGAACATTGATACATTATATCTACTTACTGTGAGTCGAGACATCCCAAGTCTGTTTCTTGTACACTGAACATTGATACATTATATATGCTTACTGTGAGTCGAGACGTCCTGAGTCTGTTTCTTGAACACTGAACATTGATACATTATATATACTTACTGTGAGTCGAAACATCCCAAGTCTGTTTCTTGTACACTGAACATTGATACATTATATATACTTACTGCGAGTCAAGACGTCCCGAGTCTGTTTCTTGAACAATGAACATTGATACATTATATATACTTACTGTGAGTCAAGACGTCCCAAGTCTGTTTCTTGTACACTGAACATTGATACATTATATATGATTACTGTGAGTCGAGACGTCCTGAGTCTGTTTCTTGAACACTGAACATTGATACATTATACATACTTACTGTGAGTCAAGACGTCCCGAGTCTGTTTCTTGTACATTGAACATTGATACATTATATATACTTACTGTGAGTCAAGACGTCCCGAGTCTGTTTCTTGTACATTGAACATTGATACATTATATATACTTACTGTGAGTCGAGACATCCCAAGTCTGTTTCTTGTACACTGAACATTGATACATTATATATGCTTACTGTGAGTCGAGACGTCCTGAGTCTGTTTCTTGAACACTGAACACTTTAGCTATCAACATGTTCTGACTGTTCTCCATTAGACTGGTGAAGTTTGGACCCAGCGTTTCTCTGTTCCTTTCCACCACACCCTCCAAGTTATACTTCACCTGGTAATATTTACGTCCATTTAATACAGGACAACATTAGTCTAAGCACATCACACTTTGACAGGCAACATCATGCTAGCATCTGACTACAATAATAACATTTGGTTTTGGTTTGTTTGTTTTACGTCTTATGCAGTAAACAGCTTTGGTCATTTAAGGGCGTGCCAGGTTTTGGTGGTGGAGGAAAGCAGGAGTTCCCGGAGAAAAAACACCGACCTATGGCCAGTACCTGGCGATTGCCTCACGTGGGTCTGGAACCCGCGACCCAGTGGTGGAGGGCTAGTGGTAGCAGAATGTCCGATGCCTCAACCACTTGGCCAACGCACCAATAATCCTAACTTGATGTTATGGCAGTGTTTTATACCTAGTTACAAATATCAGTGAAAAAACTATTTTATCTGTAAACTAACTGGGGTGTCAACAAACAGATCTACTTTTGTGACTTTGCATGCTGTTGTTAATTAATTATCAATTCTAGAAAATTTTGATAATTAACTTTTTTGAACTTTGGCCAGATCCACTTTGATTCTCCATGAGGGAGAAACCTTACAATAAGTTTAGGGACTCAGATAGGGCAACATAGTAACTTTTAGGCATCAGAAAGCACAAAATTTAACTGCAAAGCACCAAAACTTGACTGGCCAAAATTTAACCATCCAATTTTCCACCAAAAACTCCAAATTCCAGCAATGCAAATATGTCCCAAAATATGATAGTTGATATTAATAAGCGAAGTCAACAAATATAACATAATTGTACCAACCTGGCCTGCGAAGTGTGTCACAGTGAAAACAGGTTCTCTGGCCTTAGACTTCTTGTAGTGAGAATGTTTCCCTAAAAAATGGTCAACCTTGTCTACATATGACTGGTCAGTGGACGTCTGTAGCCGACACTCGTCCTCAAGTATCGAAAATATTCCCTCGGGTCTCTGAAAAAATTAATATGTTCTTATAGATGATTAAAGTTGTCTAATAACACATCCGGCCCGAGGATAATGATCCAGTCATAACTCTATTTTTATTTATTTATTAAGCAATTAAAGTATCTCTTTTTGATTTAATTAGTTGAAATTTTATGAAATAATGCATAATTACAATGTATGTAGATATGTAACATTTTTATAGGGTACTGTAAAAACAGGCACCAATATTAACTAAGTCTCGGTTTATTTGTAATCCAGAGAGAAGTATTTTTACATTAATTCTAATAAAATAAACGTAGCAAAATGTCAGATATGAAAGCATGTCTGAACAAAAGACGCTTCAAATCCTGTTAACATATGCAGCTAAAATGTAATGTATGCCTTTCAGATGAAACTCTTATAAATTCTCTTGTTCCAAATGATGATACACATATTTTCAGGTTATAATATGTCAAACCATTCTTCAGAAGTAGTTTTCTTAATAAAAATATGTTTCACCTATTGAGCCAACCCATACCTCTGTCTCCATTGGGCTGATCACCTTTATCATTCAATAAAATGTAACGTGCCTAGGTATGCTACATTAATTGTTACCATATATTAACGTCATCTATCTAATCTATCAAGTCATCCAATAGAACCCTTTTTTTAATTCTATATTTTGGCACAATCCCTCTGTCACAATTAAAGTAAGATGCAAAATTTCAATTTCCCTTTTTATAGGGATGTTACCTTCTAAACTCACTCTTAACAAGCTTAACCATATTTCCCCATGTTATCCAGTAGGTCCTTTTCATTAATTGACCAATAATTCCCTAAACCTGAATTCCAATTTACTCAGGAGAAAATTTCTCGGCTGAGAAATCAGGGCAGTAATATTTTTCTCATATGGTCTAACCTGTTCTCATGAGAAAAAAATCAACTTGCAGACAAATGTAATGAGAGACTACTTAGATTCTCATGAGAATATCATGAGATTTGGTTGGAAAATTCTGTACGGATTCAGCAAAATTGAAATATAATTTTGATGTCTATCTTCACATTGTATATTTACAAAGTAGAAGTTTTAGTTCTTTGAACAGTCAATAAAATCACAAACTTTTGAATAAACATAACTTCAAACAAAACCGTACAAACCTACCCGCAACAACAGGTCCACGACATCTCGGTTGTTTTCAAACTTGACCTTTGGACTTTTGATACCTTCCCCCTGGTATTCACGCAACTCCCATGCAAAGATGTATTCATTGAAGAAGTTCTGAAGCTGTTCGTTGGCAGTGTTGATACACAATTGCTCCAAGCTATTGACGGGAAAATTCTCGAAACCTGCCATATCTAAAATGCCAATTGTCCGCGGTGATCGGTTATTCCTGTGGGAATATAAACAAAATCATTTGAATTTTGATACAAACTATTTCTATAGAATCAAGATTTGTTCTGGAAACTCAGATGAATGGATGCATGCATAAGATAAATACTAAATATGGTTGTAAATTTTCAAGACATTTCTCAAAAACAAATTGAATTTTGAAAACTTGTGTTAACAAACAGTTAACTTGACATGACTTTCAACAATTTGGACAAGATTCATTCTGTGCTCACCTGCTGTCCACCGATGGGTCAAGCTCGATATTGATCTGGGCCACGATCCAACTGAACAAACGACTGTACAGGACCTTTGCCAGGGCGTCCCGCCCATCACACGCCTGACCCACTGTCTTCATGGTCACGATTCTCTCCCCTATAAACAAGCAACAAGGGTCAACCAGTGCAATTAATTCATAACTTTGACTGTTTCATTCCTTACTTTAAATTGTGGGACACCAATTAAAATTTGTTGCCATATATCTAAATGTGCATGTCACCTTAAATGATACCACATTATAAAGATGACATAATTTTTTTACATGTACATTTAGGGGTTTGCTAAACAACGTTATAGTCCTACAGAAAAGAGGACGGGGTCTAATATCAAGGATTTTCACAATATGAAATAATAACCAAACTTACCTCTTACTTAATTTTTTTCTGAAGGCTTTTTTATGTTTTTACTAAAATTTTCCAAATATGAAAACATGAAACTACATAAAAAACCAAATGACATGTAGATAGCATTGTAATTTCTACTTAATAAAGCGCCAGGAAAATATACCACAAACAATTGCCTCTATGACAGTAATACAGCGCTTACAGCATGTTTGAGACTAAAACAGAAATGTCCTGCAAAGAAAAATGCATTACCAGTACTTACCACGTACAAACGCCCTGTTTGAGAGTAACACATTACTTACCACGTACAAACGCCCTGTTTGAGAGTAACACAGTACTTACAACGTACAAACGCCCTGTTTGAGAGTAACACATTAATTACCACGTACAAACGCCCTGTTTGAGAGTAACACAGTACTTACCACGTACAAACGCCCTGTTTGAGAGTAAGACCGTAGCTAAATCCTCCGGCTGTAGTGACAGAAGAGTGGACGCTACAACAAAATAGACTACTTTACTTTGCTCCAACATTTTAATTAAATTTTATCACCATTAAATATATATAAACAAGGGTTAAAGAGGTTTTCTTAATTGCTCAACAATTTACTTAAGAAGACTAATAATTATAGAGAGAAATTAATTGATACAATGGCCCCATGAACCACACAATTGCTGCAAGCATGCATTTTTTTCTTATTCTACAATGAGGGCAAATTTATCATGACTGTGAATGTAATCATTATACAGCGCATATGCCATATATGGAAATACCACATGCTGGGGAAAATTTAGCCCTTTCATCACTGTGGACCATAAAGAACTCATCCAGATTAATGGATGGTAGGGTTTCCTAAAGTTAACACTAGGTGAAATGGGTTTAAACAGTACGATGAAGGGCGAATATTCAACTGGGCAAAATTTTCTACAATATATTCAAGGAATACAATAATATACACTTATAAAGATATTGGGATAGTCTACTGCATTTCAATCTGATAACCAATAATCTTATTGTGCAAACACTTAGTCTCATGTTTTGGGGATGGATTATATACGGTAGGTACAAGACTATGGGAGGATTTAGGGGATGTTCGCATAATATCAATAGTTTTTGAAAAGGGGGATGGGTGCTTATAATGGCTAATACGGTACATGTAAATATCATACATACTGAAGTCAATTTCGTCCTCGTTAACAATGATGACCTGATCAATTTCGGGATCAGCCACGAAGTCGATGTTACACAGATGAAGTATTCCTGCCACTAGGCCGAGTATTAGGTCCACCTCCTGTAAAATAGGTGTAAATAGAACTTCCAGAACAGGTGACTGTTCAATTGTTTATCCTCCTTATTTGAAATGAGTTCCTTAATTCATTTTCAAAAAGACAAGCTTTAGCAGTTTTTTCTGAGCAAAAATTTGAAAACTGACTAATGATAATTAGATTAACATAATGACCATGGTCAGGAGTTCTGAAACTTCTTTCCATGTCAATTGTGACTATTTAACAAAAAGAGGAGGTCCAGAATTCTTCTAAAAAGAGTTATCAATTCAAATGTTTAGTCCAGATCAGTACAGTTTTTTTTATTAGTCACTCCCGTGTAATTGTGGGAAATTTTGAACGATTGAAAACCAAGGACTCTACTGATGGAATTTAGCAGCTGTTGGTGATAATAAGTGCTGATTTGGATAAATAAATAATCCATTTATCAATAAATGTGAGGTAAGTGTTATGTCATAGTAGATTTTTGTTAATGTCAGCACCTCATAACTCTCCGATACCTAACATCTTCATATACATGTAGTAGTGCGCTCTGGCCCCACACCAGACATCTTTCCATCAAAATGTCTTAAGTCTGGTGTCGGGGCCAGAGGAAACTTGGGCTATGGTGTATGTGTGCTATTTCGGATACAAACCTGTGATGAGAATCCTACAATGTTGAATATGTTTCTCAGTTCCTCCATCCTCATTACATATCCTTCATAATCCAATCCGCTCCGGAACACCCGGTTACCATACCCTTCCTCTAAAATCCTGGAAATCAAGCAAGGTTTACGAGTTATTGTACAGAATTGGTTTGTAAAGAATATAATGGTGGCAAGCCTCATTTCACAAAACTTAATTAATTTTAATGATTAATATATCAAAACATTTCATTAGAGACAATGCATTGAAGTAATTACAACTCGAAGCACCTTAAAGATACATTGTACCACTCTAGACCTATAGGGATACTGCTTACATAATATCAAAGTGTAACGTGCGGGCAGTCACCCATCCAAGAACTGACCAAGCTCGACGTTGCTGAATTATAGAGCGGTATACTGCATCACTGGAAAAGCTAGCCTACCTGAGTAAGGCAGTAGTGTCCCCTCATATTCCTTAGCTGTTACTATCCCCCCCCCCCCTTTAAGAAGTCTCATCCCGAGACTTGGCCTGGGGAATCCCATAGGTCCTCCCTGTGTATCAATGCACCTTCCTTAACCACCAGGAACTGGCCTTACATGATCACACCGTATCCCACCGCTGCCACCAAATGTAACGTGCCAGCAGTCACCCATCCAAATTACTGACCACGCTCGACATAGCTGAACTAGTGAGCGGGTCCCCGGATTATACCACATCACCGGCAAAGCTAGCCTGCCAGTAAGGCAGTATTTCCCCTCATATTCCTTAGCTGTTACAAAAGTAATGTGTCAATAGAGTAAAAGTTGCTAGGCCAGCAGAATGAGATTGAAAATTGGCATCATTTAAGATGATATTTTTGTTCATTTCAAGAGTTTATATTTTTTATAGGGGGATTTTGGAAATCAGACCCTGGAATGAAATTGGGGAAAAAATCACTAACTTAAGGACCATTTTGGGAAATATGTATGATCATTAACTCTGAATATATAACAAGAGGCCCAGGGGCCTTAATAGCTCACCTGGTATTTTATTTTTCAATTTAAAACCTGCTGAGTACCATTCAGGTTTATCAAAGGAGTACAAGTAACAAAGTTGCATCTTCCATTTATAAATATTCAATTCCCTTTGCCCAAAGATTCTCTAAAACAAGTTTGGTTAGGTTAAAATCCCTTCAACGGTACAGAAGGAGAAGGATCTTTAATGTTTTCCTCTATTTCCCCTAATGGGCCCCACTAATCTGCCCCAAAGAAGGGGAATCCACACACCTCAGTTTAAACAAAATTGATTCTTTTCTCCCTAAGCATGCTTCAGACTGCATTTGGTTTAAATCCCTTCACTTGTATAGTAGGAGAAAAAAAATCCTCTATTTCCCCTATTGGGCCCCGCTCCTATGCCGCCAGAAGGCCCACACCCTCCGTTTATACAAACTTGAGTCTCCTTTGTCCAAAGATGCTCTAGGACAAATTTGGTCAAAATCCTTCAATTGGTTGAGGAGAAGATTTTTAAAGATTTACCTATTTTCCCCTATTTGGCCCCGTCCCTCTGCCCCCAGGGGGACCATACCCTCCGTTCATACAAAACTGAGAACCCTTTGGCCAATGATGCTCCAGACCAAATTTGGTCAAAATCCCTTCATCGGTACAAAAGGNCCAGGACTCGAACCCATAACCCTTCGGTCACGAGCCCGGCATCCTACCACTAGACTACTGTGCTTTCTGTGTAACTTGAATGTAAAATTAAGTGTAAATTAGATAGCTAGGCACTTGTTTATTTTCAATATTTTTAAGCACCGTTATATGTTTTTCTTGTTGTAGTTTCATTAAAAATTGATACAAGGCATAGAAACAAGTTAGGGTTGTAGTATTATTATCATAGCTGCATTTAATTGATATACTAGACAAAACCCCAATTATTGAAAGTTCAAAATGTCTATGACATTTTTACTATGAAGTCCTGAAGGAGTCCAAATGGGGCAAAAGTAGTTGACAATTACCAAATAAATTGAAGAATCTACCATTAAGACTTTGTGTTTTTTAAAAGTAAAATATTGCTGAAAACCAACCTGTAAGTTTCCGGATTGTTCAGGTAATATCGCTTCTTTTCATTAACTGACAGTCCCGCAAATAGGCAATAGAAAATGTGGAATGTTCGCTCTCCCGCCATCTTGTTAACAACACGTGACTTTTCCAACATATGTTCTGTGATCTTTGCTAAAATTTAAAAAATAGTTATGATCTTTTGAATTCTTTAACAGTTTTTCCTATCAAGGTATATCCATCTTCATCATTTATTCAGTGAATACAACAACATCTTTGCCTCTGAACTCTTGTAATACACCCAACATCTTTGTCTCTGAACTCTTGTAATACACCCAACATCTTTGCCTCTGAACTCCTGTAATACACCCAAAATCTTTGCCTCTGAACTCTTGTAATACACCCAACATCTTTGTCTCTGAACTCTTGTAATACACCCAACATCTTTGCCTTTAAACTCTTGTAATACATCCAACATCTTTGCCTCTGAACTCTTGTAATACACCCAACATCTTTGCCTCTGAACTTTTTGTAACTTTTATGGATTTTATGAGTGATTGGGAGTTTTGCCTGACTAATGAATCAATCTTGGTTACAACTAGGTGATAAAATGTTCTATAGCCATCAAGGTAGAATCGGTTCGGATACCTGAAACACAAATTACTTTGCCTCATGTGATAAAATAAGATTGGAAAGTTGTTTTCATTTCATAAGAAAAAAAATTATAAGCTGAGACATCATACATTTTTCATATTTGAGCGTTCCAGAAGCTCACTAAAATGAAAAATTCTTCAGATTAATTTCATAAATCTCATATGAAATGGAAATTCATAAAAGATCCTACACACATGTAGCAATGATGACCACTTAATTAACACAAGAGGCATGGACTCATCAGATTCAAACAAAAATGAAATGGAAAAAACTTGTTTTGAGAAAGAAATTGAATTGTCATGGAAGACGATTACCACACAGACATAAAACAGTGATTTATTGAATGATGGTCAATATTTAAAAAAATATATATCGTACCAGGGAAACAGCATATTCTAGTCTTAGTCAATTTGGTTCAACATGTCAGAATGAAGCAATTCAAATTATTAAAAAAAAATCTCGCCATTACAAACTTTTCAATGTTCACAATAGCTGTACCCACCTCCAGCTATATCACCATTAGGGGATAAAATTAGTTCGACCAGCTTTCCGAAGCGACTGGAATTTCTGTTCATCACGGTTTCCGCATTTCCGAAGGCTTCTAGAAGAGGGTTTACCTAATGATGTATGTAAACATATCATTTACAGGTGGAAATAAAAACTCACAAAAAAAAAACGGAACAAAAAACAAAACACAGCTGTCATACATTTATAACACATTAATCCCATGTCTGGAAATAATCCCACCAATATCTATTGTTTTTCAGTAGAAATATCAACAAATGCTATTTCATTGTCCTGTTATAAGTTAATAAATTGAATGGAATTGACAAAGCACATCCCCTACTTTCAGTCAGAGAGTATGTGTCGGCCCACTGGGTGTGTTGCAGGATAAATACGGTACATGCTCGATAATATAGTAACAGGGGTTTGTTTAATTCACTTCCAGCTCCCCAAAAAATAAAGGCAGCTAGGCAAATCATTTTTTAGCAAACCATTAAAGATCACATTTCTGACATTTACTGTGGCTAAATTTTACCACAAAAATTATGACAACCACTTAAATCTAGGGTATAAGTTGAAGGAACAAGAACTGTCTGTCTGTAAGACACAGACGCCCTGCTACTAAACTTAAGAACTTAGCAAGGTCACAGAGGTCAAGGTTAAAGGTTATGTAACCTGCTATATCCCAGACACAAGCAACTTCAGTAGTCCACAACTGACTTAAACGTAAAAACTTAATCAACCCAACGTAAATAGGAACACCTGGGGTAAAACGCCAGCATTTTAGTGGCGGGTTAATGTTTTCAAAATAAAAACAGATTTTGGGGTGTTATTGTATAACAATAATTGCTCTCTCTATATATATACATGTATTTTATACCCTGAAATTTCTAGTTGCAGATTAATTAGCCTTAATTTCAGTCAAAGCACAATCTGAAACTAAATATTTTACCTCAATAATTTTTTGATGGAGATTTGAAAATCCTGAATCATTGGTGAGTCGTACAATCTGAGCGACCAGCATCTTACTGCTTTCTGTTTTACCTGTAAAAATCAATCAATATTATATCCTCATATAAAATCTGCCTAATATTTCTTGCTTATCACACATTTCTGAAAGGGTTCATGCACATGTACCTCCAAAAATAAATATGAAATATTATATTGAAGATTGATCTTATTCTGTTTTTAATGTTAAGGATATATTTCGGTGTTGTAGAAATATAAACAAATTTGACTCGGAACATTGCGTTTTCTACTTACCAGGTAATAACTCAGAAAGGTGAGATTTTACTTAATTTTGTTACTGACACAAATCCATTGAATTATTTGAATTAACCAAAAGCAAGTGTGGATCTTCACACTTTTTTTCGTACAGTAAATTTATTTTGTTTGGGAATTTTATATCATTTCTGCCAGATGGTGTTATACCTGTGTAACAATAAAACCTGTCTAATCCCAACAAATCTGCTAGACAGGACAGGGTATCAAAATAAACAGTTTTTGTTTGGTATTATTTATTCAAAATAAGATGATAGGTGTTTGTCAGATTTGGCAGTGTGTCAGAATACTGACAGGGTTCAAATCAGATAGATTTCACAGTGTAACACCAACATTTTGTAAATTCTATTGCTTGGCAGTTAAATTCTTTAATAAAAGATCAATCAGATTAATCTATAACAAACCTTGGTTTTAACTAATTTAAACAAAACAAGAGTACCGCAGGGCGGAACAATATACGCCCGTCGAACACCATATAGTGTTATATACTTTCTAACATTGAAATAAGATCTGCGTCATTCTAAGAGTGGTTAGCTGATATGCTATAAAAAATGCAGGAGAAAATCTCCGGACAAAAAATAAAATACTGAAATGAACAAAGGGCAATAACTTTTGCAAAACTTGTCGAATCAAAATTCTTTTACGGAAGACATAACTTAATAGCATGATTATAATGTAGACCAAGTTTCAAAGAGATCCGTTAAAAATTGTAGGAGGAGATTGCCGGACAAAAATCAAATACTGAAATAAACAAAGGGCAATAACTTTTGCAAAAATTGTTGAATCAAATTTTGTTTCAAGGAAACACAATAGGATATCATGAATATTTAGCCTTCTAAGTTTCAAAGAAATCCGTCAAAAAATGTAGGTGGAGATCTCCGGAACAAAAAATCATATACTAAAATGAACAAAGGGCAATAACTTTTGCAAAAATTGTTGAATCAAATTTTGTTTCAAGGAAACACAATAAGATATCATGAATATTTAGCCTTCTAAGTTTCAAAGAAATCCGTCAAAAAAATGTAGGTGGAGATCTCCGGAACAAAAAATCATATACTAAAATGAACAAAGGGCAATAACTTTTGGAAACGGCCGAATGGCCGGACAGACGGACAACCCCATACCATAATACTTCCGTCCAATTTGACGGGCGTATAAAAATTGCCCCCAAGGTGGAAATTATGACTTACCCGCTCCCGATTCTCCGCTCACTAAGAGGCACTGATTAGCTCCGATCCGCCGAACATTCTGATGCGCCTTCGTGGCCATGGCGTATATATGTGGGGGTAGATCCTTCAGCTCTTTAAGGTCTTCATAACGTTTCCCAACCTGATCAAAATATAATCAACAAATTGACACAAAATATGTATTAGATATACTTTTAACTGTCTAAAAATTACTCGCAATAAAAATATAGATAAATCACTATACTTCATTACTGTAGATTTTTTTTTGATAGATATGAATAATTACATGAATTTATGAAATAGCCTGATAATTTGAGAATTCCAGTATCACGTGAAACATATATGTCTTGATATATGCATCAAACCTTGAGCCAATAATGACACAAATAACTTAATTGGTATTGTTTATTATGAGAATTTCAATCTCTATGCATTTTATATATCTTACAGACCCACTAAGTATTTATAGATGGTCTGTAATTAAACAGACTATATATATATATATATTATAATAGCAGAAAAATTATCCTTACAGACGAAGAAATAATATAAAAGAATTTTAGTATTTTCAGTCTGAAGAATCTCCTTGACGAGATGAAAGTACTAAAGACTCGTTGAGATTTTTTCTTTTCATATATATATACAGTCTATATGGGGAAATCTTTACCGCTGCGTAGTTTTCGCCTTTTTGCTCTTCGTAATGAGGGATAATTATATGGTTACAGCAAATCTAGTAGAAAACATCATAATAAGCATATGTAATTAAATGTGAAGGGGCAAAATTAACACTGGGCAAATATGAGTTTTAATGATGAAGGGTGGAAGTTTGACGGGGTGAAATTTTGCTGGTACACCGTATACCGTAAATATATTTATCTATACTTACTGCATCTCCATATATGGTCAAATCTTTGTAAGGATTGACAGAGACCAGGATATCCCCAATGTAGGTCTGTAACAAGGAAAATTAAATATAAATATTTATCAACCAAAATGAGACTGAACTCCATTTAAACATTTTAAACATATGAAATTGTATCAGTTGTTGTAAATAAATTGGGGGGAGTGTAATTACGTATCGCGGAGGATCGTAGAGGAACAGACTTATAAGTCTGATTTTAACTCATTCACCCCTGAAAATTGATAATGAACTATTCCAACCTTTGAATTGGAAGAGTTCAAATGTGTCTTCAGGGGTGAATGAGTAAATTAGAATGATAAATTTTACTTCTGAGACTAACTGTGTCATAGTCACATTTCAAACAGCTACTGAAAAGTGTTCATTCCAGATGTATGTGTATAGCCATTTAATCTATATTTTATTGTGGTAATAAACAAGAGGCCCAGGGGCCTTAATAGCTCACCTGGTAATTTATTTTTCAATTTAAAACCTGCTGAGTACAATTCAGGTTTATCAAAGGAGTACAAGAAACAAAGTTGCAAGAAGAACTACATATAAATCTGTCTTGGTGGGAAAGACTACAAGTAAATGAGTTTCCATGTTATGTCACAATTTTCCTCTATTTCCCCTATTGGGCCTCACATGCACCTTTTTATACAAATTAAACAAATTGAGTTTTTTTCCCCTAAACATGCTTCAGACCACATTTGGTCTATTTCCCCTAATGGGCCCCACTAATCTGCCCCAGTTTAAACAAAATTGATTCTTTTGTTCCTAAGCATGCTTCAGACTGCATATGGTTTAAATCCCTTCACTTGTATAATAGGAGAAAAAAAAATCCTCTATTTCCCCTATTGGGCCCCGCCCCTATGCTCCCAGAGGGGCCACACCCTCCGTTTATACAAACCTGGGTCTCCTTTGTCCAAAGATACTCTAGAACAAATTTGGTCAAAATCCTTCTATTGATTGAGAAGAAGAAGATTTTTAAAGATTTACCTATTTTCCCCCTATTTGGCCTCGACCCTCTGCCCCCAGGGGGACCATACCCTCCGTTTATACAAAACTGAGAACCATTTGGCCAATGATGCTCCAGACCAAATTTGGTCAAAAATTCCTCTGAGCCGTTCAGGACGAGTAGCGTTTTAAAGGAAAAAGTTGCTGTACGCCGTACGCCGGATGCCGCGGGCCAGGTGAGCTAATAATTACTGATTTCAGTGTGTAAAACTTGTAAATAAAGGTAATGATTTGAATTTTTTCACAAAAAAAAAGAGGGTTTTTTTCACATCCAGGAATGTAATCTGAGGTGCTGTTCCATTTAGCAGACCGGAGTGCCAAGTTAGAGGACAAACAGAATGTTAATTTTGCTAAATCGAAGTGCACTATTGATGTGAACCAGTATATATACAGGCACAAGAGAACTCTGGTACCTTTGTACAATAGAAAATAATTCTTTAACAGAAATAATACCGCTCTAACTTAATAATACAAGCAGGGCTAGAAAATAACGGTAGCCCAGCAGTCCGAGACAAGTGAAATCTCCAGCCGGACTAAAGTGGTTCTAAAAACTGTTGGCCCAATTGACTAGTCAAAAGTTGTTATTACTTATCATGTACGTGTTAAATAACATTGGGTTAATGGAGTTTACACATGAACTACTAGTAAAATTGGAACCTATATTAGCCCAACTGACTCGTGGTTTTTAAAATCAATTCCTAGCCCTGTACAAGTGCTTGTGACTATACATACATATATGATGTCTCGTTCGTATCTGTCCTTTAGTTCCTTCAGGATGGTCTGCTCATCAAGGTCACTCAGATGAGCAAGGTCATCGCTGTAGCCCTTTGGAGGTCCCATGGCTACCTATAGCAACAACTGTCTGGTGACTGGTGGGCTAAACTTTCTAGGCCATGATTAAATCTGGGGAAAAAATCAAATTGAAAAAAAATCAGTCATTACAGAAATTCATGTTTCTTCAGGCAATTGTTTTCTTTAAAATATGAACATTGCATATATTGCTTTAAAATGCTATGTTTCGAAATATAAGAAGTTTGAATGCACACCAACATACCCTGTCTCCTGCATACACACATGCAAGCACGCATACACTGCGTACACACATGGAGGCACGCCCTTAAATGACCTTAGCTGTTAATAGGATGCTTAACAAAATTAACCCTAACTGAACCAGTTTTAACTGGCACCTCAGAATTCTTAGGTCAGTCGCTCTGACCAATTGGTCACTGGCTATTGAACCAGTACAGTTCTGCTTCATTTCTCCGTCCTTTTTCTCAATCTTCCCCTCTGAGGACCATAAGTTAGGATATCCCCTTGCATTGCCAAGCTTTACAGCAATTGAATCAATTGCTTGGTCACGGCACCACTGTAACAGGACAGGAAAAATGGGCAGACAGACTGGGATTTGAACCCAGGGCCCTCCAAAGTCTAGACGGACGATCTACCTAACTGAGCTACCTGATCACTGGTGAATCACACAGCCAGGAGTTCCATATTCCAAGTGTATGTGCATCACATGAAATTCCATTTCTGCATAGAAACGTGTGCAAAATATGTCAATTTTTTATGGTAGAGATGAATTTAAATTTCATGACTTGTTGCGACCTAAATTGTGTATATATTCAGATCATACATACATATATTGAATAAATGAAGCTCATTATGCATGAATAAATAATATTAATAATAATAATTCAAGGTTTTTATATACTGCCGCTTCATCACAACCTAGTTTGTAGGTCGTCTCAGAGGGGAGCATACAACCGGTGCTGCCATTTCGGCACCCACAGCTAGCATTCTACAATTCTAGCACTGCCCAACCACATACTCATTTACATCTGAGTAGACTGGAACAAGCGAAGTAAAGTATCTTGCTCAAAGATACAACACAGTGCCGTACCGCAACTCGAACCCGCAACCCTTCGGTCACAAGCCCGGCGTACGCGTCCTACCACTAGACTACTGTCCCTCCTGATAAACATCTCTGAAACAATTTTATAATCTTGAGTGTGTATACATATTGCTTCGGCCGGCTTAAATAACTTTGTGGCCATCTCAAGGAACTCTACTGAATCCATTTGTGGGTCCATACAAGAATGTGAAACAACATTATTTTGGATTATATTCATAATATAACAATTAAAGGTTTTGTGAGATTGATTTGTCTCCCTTGCATGATATATTGAGTCTATTTTTAAATATTTGGCAGTGTTATATATGGACACTGGTTGGAGAGCACTTTATTGGACTAATTTTGTCACTCAATTCCACTTACCTATCGATAAATATTTGTGAAATTTTAGTCATGTGTGTTACCAAACAATTGAGAAGGAACCTATAACCTTGGGCTTGACTCCTTGATCAGTATACAGAATGTAACAATTCGAAATAAATAAAAACTGTGCTGTTTAATGAGACCTTAGTAATAAATGTTCTTGAACTTTGTCGAGCAAGAAAGATTTTACAGCCTATGAATTAGTCGGGTTCTTATCACTTCGTCATACATCTCAAGTGATCCCCACCTGAGTAAATTTATTTTACCTATATATATATACCAGTCGTAATGTACCTGTATAAACCAGGTAGAGGTACAATGCATTTTTTTTATGCAAATATTTATCAACCGCTGGTAACAGTAAACGGATACCTGTACTAATACTGGATGTACATGTTGGAATGATCGTAATGGGAAACCAACCAAACAGATATCTGACATGCCACACAATCTCAATGTAATCTGCAAACAAACATTCTCCCAACTGTTCACTTAGGCATTTTAAATAGAAAGTTTAGCTTGTCTGGCGTACTACAGTCTGTTATTGATATTTTCCCTGAGAAAAATTATCCAGCAAGCTGTATTTTCACCAGAATTAACACCAGATTGCTCTAGGCAAATTATTGTTTTTCTGACAATAAGGTATATTTGCTGTAATGAATCCGACACATTGTTACTGGCCCTAACAAAAGCATACCTGGGTTGGTAAGGCGAGGTTTGGCCTAAGACCTCATTCCCAAATACATTTTATGTTACCCACTGTCATCAAGGTGGCTGGGTTTAATTTCCTGATTGGACATGGGAACAAAGGTATAGGGTCACCTGCTAGACTATGTGGGTTTTTCCAGGTACACCTGTTTCCTCCCACATTAAGACCCTCTGCATACTTCTTTCTCAGCCAACAAGAGTGATTGACATAGACTTGTTATACAATACCGATATTGCAGAGAATAAATTATGTTAATCTGACTACATAATAATATTCTGGGGGTACGTCAGTTCATGGGAGCCAAATGGCCCCTCCAGCCTCATCCCCACAAATCTTACTGATCTTCCCATAGTTCGTTTCTTAAAATTACTTTCACCTTTTTTCAGAATTAGAGTTTCAAAAAATATTAAGTAAAACGGCTTAACTGTGACCTTGACCACTGACCTTTTGACTAGTAAATCAATAGGGATTATTTTAGACCCAATGGGTAGTTCTTCAACGAAATTTCAAGTTCAAAGATGGAACATATAAGAGAACCGCTGGGCGGAACAATATACTCCCGTCGAATGCCCGGTGTTATATACTTTCTTACATTGAAATAAGATCTACATCATTCTAAGAATGGTAATTAGCTGACATGCTATAACAAATGTAAGAGAAAATCTCCAGACAAAAAAACAAATACTGAAATGAACAAAGGGCAATAACTTTTGCAAAAATTCCTACTGGAGTGGCAAGGTGACCTTGACTTTTCGCCCCTAATGCTAGTAAGTTTTCTTCTTACGCTATCCGTGGTCATTTTGTAATGTTTTAAGATCCTACAAAGATGGAAAAATGCCCTACTTTGAAACTATTTTGGCAGAAGAGATATTTTGACAGTAACTTTTGACCTTTTGACTCCCAAATCAATAGACTAGCAAGGGAAGAGTTTCTTTCCAACTCTTGATAGTCAACAGAAGAAAGTGACTCACACCTGTACATATACAGGACAGAAGTCAGTAGACAGCTGGGGTTTAATTTATAACCAGACTAGAGGCGTATAGCGCTAGCTATTGCCCTTGTTCAGATTGGCTTCATTTAGAAACGGGTCCAGGGCGGGTCATTGGTAGGGGGTGCAACTAGCAGTGTTTTTGATTTGTTTTGTGTTCCTTTTCGAAAAGGTGGATTCACCTGTGTACTAGCATTTAGGCAGCTATATATATATGCACCTGATAAATCTAAGATTTGGTTTGTTTTTATTTTACGTCCTATGAACAGCTATGGTCATTTAAGGACGTGCCAGGTTTTGGTGGTGGAGGAAAGCCAGAGTTCCTAGAGAAAAACCACTGACCTACCGCCAGTACCTGGTGACTGCTTCACGTAGGTCTCGAACCTGCGACCCAGCAGTGGAGGGCTAGATATAGCGGTAACAGAATGTCAGACATATCTTAATCACTTGGCCACTGCAGCCCCTTAAATATAAGAACATGGACATATATACCTGTAAACAAACTGGGGGATTTACACAGTGCAGATACAGGTAGTGCAAAATAATCAATACTGTCAATGTTAAAACCTAATCGTCTGTATATATAGTCACAGGCACAGCAGTGAAGACATACCTGTTACAGTCCTGTATATATTGTTCACACATGTCATGCCCTGGTGTAACAGCCAATTCTTTACCCCCACTGAAACTGTCCCCCAGGATAGACTCAGCTCGAATGATCTTACATGGGTTTCCATTTTATATAGGATTTATGAAATGAATTATAAATATTCAAAAATTAAATTAGACCAGAAAGTATATATTGTTACAAGTTTCACAAATGTCATATGAAGTACAGTTGTAAAAACGAATTTAAGATCCTTCTTAAAACATGATCCAAGAACTTTTTGTGAATGTTACCACAAAACACACTTTTCTAGGTCTTTCATAAAGTCTCAAATTCAGCTATCGTAGATCTATATTGGTTTTTTCTCAATTGTGACATAATAATGTATTCTGAAAATCTCTGACATCATTTGATGATAAAATAATAAATCATATTTTATATATAAGTACAGGTACATAGGAAAATACATTATGTATTCACTGAAAAACAAAGTAATCATATGATAAAAATGGTAAGTCATCATTTTCTTATCTTAAAGATGAACTGTGGAACACAGGACTCCTTAGGACTGAGAGTGGGAAAAAATGAATCATTAAATCTGTATTAATAAACAGGATATAGGTTTAATTAACAAACATACATTTATGGTAATAAGTAAAATTTTTGATGAGGTCACAGAGACAGACAAACCATTTTTAAATGTAAGTTTAATTTCTTGCTGGGGAAAAATGAGCTCAAGAGTTGTTCAATGAACATAACACACACATGTAACCCCTATAGAGCAACGAGTATGTAAAAAAAGTGTTGTTCTAGAAGATGAGGAACACTTCTTCTTCAGGTTTGGCCATAATGTACACTACCGCTGAGAAAGGACTATTTAAGTAAATATATACAAAACTATTCTATACTAGACACAGATACTTATAACACATATTTTATCTTCTGACAATATGCAACTTATACCTGACTCGTGCTTTTATATGAAACGGCCACTTGAACTGAGGAGCGTGGGCCTGGCTTCTCTATAAGTGTATATATATTTTGTTCACTATTGCAGTTTCTTTGTATATTTGTTGTTATTTTTTTTGCCCTCAAGTTACTATGTAACTATAAATGAGCAATAAAATTATTGAATTGAATTGTGATATATTGTACGTTTGAAATTTGGTTATAGATAAAATATGTCAAAAATGAGTATATCATACATGCAGCTGTTAATTTCTTCCTCGTAGGACTCATCAGTGACGCTAGGGGCCAATCTAGCTGAATGTTCAATGTATTGTTATTGTTCAATAAACAAATAGATTACACAACTGTTTATTGTAAAATAAGGATAAACGTTCAACATACAATGTAGGTAATTGTTCACAGTGAAATGTTGGTAATATAGTGATGGGTTAGCCTAGCTCCTGAATGAACCACATACATGTATATATATATATAAGTCTCTATGTATTATTCAGCTGTTCACATAGTTATGAGGCAATGTAACAGTGTATATTTTGTATTGATGTACACAAGCCTAATTGTTATTTAAGTTTTATAATACTTCCAGAACTACCCCACATGTATAACATTATATTCTGATCATAGTATCTGTAACATTATATTCTGATATATAAACTATCGGTGTCAAATCAGTGGTTTGGTTTGGTTTTATTTTGTTTAACGTCCTTTTAATAGCTAAGGTCATTTAAGGACTTGCCTCCATGTGTGTTGTGTAAGCTTGCATGTGTGTATGTGTACCGGAGACAGGGTATGTTGGTGTACTTGCCTCCTTGTGATAGCACGGATTTTATACTGACTTTATAGTGCGATCTCACTGAAATGCCATGTCAAAGGCACCCAGCACAGCATTCGCATGAACCAGTCGTTGCCATTACCCTTAATGCTGATCGTTAATTAGCAGGGAATAACAACTACCATTTTTAAGGACTTTGTCCCAGCCTGGGGACAGAACCCATTGCCTTCCTCACCTGGGCGAACATTCAACATTAAAACCAAAAATGAGGTGTTGCCAAGCAAGGCACTAGGATATAAAAGGTAGTTAGAAGTAGAGAGAAATGTAAGAATCCCAATTTGTATTGAAATGGGTGCAGCAGATTTATTTTTGTCAGTATCAGTGACTGATATATCATTGATATAATGTATGATATTGGACAATTGTACACAAAGACTGTATTTCAGTTTCAGTATAAACCTTAACACTATAGCTATCTGAATCTATGATATTTTACTAACTGTATACATATATATATTAATATATATTAATCTCTGAGATTTACCAATATAGATCTATATCCATTGTAAAAACCAATAATGTTCCATTCTTTTGTATGATGTATTTATAAGATAATGTCTTTTTTGAATGATATATATTTTGGGATAATTCCTGGGATGATCTCCTAAGCGACACGCTGTCAAAATGTCAAATACATGTACAGCTAGCTATCTCCAGCGTATACAGTAAGTTGGTACAGTGAGGCCTATAGATATACGTGTATTTATACATGTACATTCTGCTGTTAGCATACATACATGTGTATGGTATAATGTACATGGACATATATCACACCTGACGTATTACGTCTCTGATCACCACTCTGTAAACACTTATAAAAACTCGTGTAAACAGGTACAGACTATCTAGATAAATGGCAGTGTTACTCGAAACTGTAAACGGTCTTACCTCGATCACTCCGAGATCATCCTAAACGTACCGAAGACAATTTACATCGTCCTGTCCCGGTTCCTCCTGTCCTGTATTGGTAAAAATACAATCGTCTCTAGCTAGTATATTATTGATTTAACCCTTCAGCCGACACGGAAGTCAAATATCACAGGTGATACCACTGTACATGCACAGCACAGCGGGTCCTCGGTCGTGTCAGTGACTAAAAATAGACTCCAATTTAATGTTGTGACGTGATGAGAAAACACCGTATTGTTATGGTAATGAGCGTGTACCTCGTATGACTTGACTTGTGTTTGTTTAAAACGCCTCAAGATGGTTGTTCTTAACACCTATACTTGTATAAGTTATACATGTGTTACCACACAGATACTTGACGCTTAAAATGTGTTTCTTATATCACAGAATTGTTTATCATAGATTTATATAAGACCCACAGGCTACAAACTACCATCGTCATATTTTCGTTCAATATTACCGGGGAATTAGATTATCTAAGTCCGTGATATTACAAATCCTCGTTATCTTAATATTTTGATTTAGGTCAAATTTTGTTTTACATTATACATCCCCCCCCCCCCCCCCCCCCCTCATTTAAACATATTGCCTAGTAATAGTTTTAATTAGCAATGGGATTGGGCACAAGTTCAACTTAGTTTAAACATATTTTATTGTACAAATATACAAATGGATTGGACAACAAGTTATTTCAACTTGATTAAGAAAAGAAATTGTGTAAACTGTGAAATGGATCCGCATTCAATAAATCATAAATTATTAAAAATGGTAGTTGTTATATTCCCTGCTTAACGTTCAGCATTTAGGGGAATGGCAACAACTAGTTCACCTATTGTCAGTATAATGTGACCGGGCAGAATGATATGCTGGGTGCCTTCGGCATGGTATTTCAGTGAGATAGCACTTTATAAAGTCAGCATCCGATCCGCGCTATCACAAGGAGGCAAGCACACCAACATACCCTGTATCCTGCATACACACACATTTGTCCGTCCGTCTGTTTGTCTGCACTAAGGTTAAGAAGAATGATTAAGCTCAGTTTCCAAGTTTTTAATTATCCCACATCAACTTACCTTGCATGGCGTATGTATCTAAGGATGTTAATCATATGCAGTGCTTTGGATGCTGTTTCTGACCTACATTTTCCGCTTGACTGACCAGGTTAAGAAGATTAGTTGAGGTCAGGCCCCATCTGCACTATGATTAAAAAGATTGGTTTAGGTCACTTACCGAGTAACTACTTGTTCTACATCAACTAAACTTGCATGGCTTATGTATCTAAGGATGCTGCTTGTGACCTACATTTTCCGCTTGACTGACCAGGTTAGGAAGATTAGTTGAGGTCAGGCCCCATCTGCACTATGGCGAAGAAGATTGCTTTATGTCGATTACCAAGTAACTACTTGTCCTACATCAACTAAACTTGCATGGCTTATGTTTCTTAAAGGATGCGGCCATATCGCCATTGGCGGTTTCTTGCTATTTTATATTATCTTATTGATTAAACTCTATTGTATTGATTAGAAGACATAGCAAATATCTATTCTTTACAAACTGGTGATAAAAACAATGGATAGAAAACGTTACATAATATTGTCACTGACCATATCTTTTTTTGTTGCTAGTATTGCCAGTATCTTCATAAATTAGATAAGGAGAGGTCAATTTGTATGTCATGGTGCGGCGTCCGTCGTCGTCCGTCAACCTTTCCTTTAAACAACTTCTTCTGAAGAACGAACAGGCATAGAGCCACGATATTTGACTGAAAGCTTCGTTGGTAGAGCCCGACAAAGTGTGAGAACAAAAATGACCTTGACCTAATTTCAAGGTCACCGGGGTCAAATGTGTCAAACACTTCAAACGACATCTTCTGAAGCACTGAAAGGTATAGATTCTTCAAATTTGGCTGGTGGCTTTCTGTGATAGAGCCCGACAAAGTTTGAGAATGAAAATGACCTTGACCTACTTTTAAGGTCACAGGGGTCAAATGTGTCAAACTCTTCAAACGACTTCTTCTGAAGAAATGAAATGTATAGAGCCTATTTATTTGGCTGGTGGCTTCCTGGGATAGAGCACAATAAAGTTTAAGATTGAAAATGACTTTGACTTACTTTCGATGTCACAGCGGTCAAATATGTCAAACGCTTCAAACGACTTCTTCTGAAGAACTGAAAGGTATATAATCTTCATTTTTGGCTGACGGCTTCCTGGGATGGAGCCCAAAAACGTTTGAGACCGAAAATGACCTTCGACCTTTTTTCAAAGTCACAGGGGTCAAATGTGTCAAACACATCAAACGACTTCTCCTGAAGAACTGAAAGGTATAGAATCTTCAAATTTAGCTGCTGGATTTCTGGGATAGAGCCCAACAAAGTTTGAGAATGAAAATGACCTTGACCTACTTTCAAGGTAACAGGGGTCAAAAGTGTCAAAGACTTCTTATGAAGAACTGAAAGGTATAGAATCTTCATATTTGGCTGATGGCTTTCTGGGATGTGGCCCGACAAAGTTTGAGAATGAAAATGACTTTGACCTACAATGTAGCTACTCTCAAGGTCACAGCGGTCAAATATGTCAAACGCTTCAAACGACTTCTTCTGAAGAACTGAAAGGTATAGAATCTTCATATTTGGCGGATGGCTTCCTGGGATGGAGCTCACCAAAGTTTGAGAATGAAAATGCTTTGAGCTACTCTCAAGGTCACAGCAGTCAAATATGTCAAATGCTTCAAACGACTTCTTCTGAAGAACTGAAAGGTATAGAATCTTCATATTTGGCGGATGGCTTCCTGGAATGGAGCTCACCAAAGTTTGAATGAGTAGGATCATTTTATGGATGTAGAATTCACGAGATACTTCATTTGCACGTACTTGTATCAGGGTGTAAAGGCAATAAGAACAAGTACTAATTGTAATGGGGGACCATTACAGAAGTCCCCCAAACACCCACAGCTTTATGTTCGCAGTGCCAAATACACCTACATATCTGAGCAAAATCGAGCAATATTTAATTTCGACCAATCAGAGGCCGCGGCGGCCATATTTGTTGACCGATCGGAAAATGAAAGGTCATTTGCACACACCCTCATCATGATGAACACTTATGTAAAGTTTCATTAATTCCGTCAAAAAGATGTCGGAAACAAGGAGAAAAAGAAGAAGAAACGTAATAGGCCTCTGTGTTCTTTGCATTTTGCACTACATTAACAAATTATAGAGTTCCGCGTATAAATGAGTGAAGCGGCTACATCTAAAGTCTTTATTTCCTTATATAGAAATTGGAGGTATGTGAAGGTTAGTTTAAAGTCTATTTAAGCTTTCAAGTCTGAAGAACCACTGGTGTCGGCAGGTGCTATTACGCCGTGGCTGACAAAAAAAGACGACTCGGACTAATAGCTAGTGGCAGATCGATATATAGAACTTTCATCACAATATATTAGATGTAGAAGTCACACTCAACAACTGGATGGTCACAATTTACAACGGAAAGTATATAAGGGCCATACTCTACAGCAGTACGTTGATATTAGGTTTAGGGTCACAATCTACATTTTGATGTATGTTATATAGCCTATTGGGTGTAAGGTCACTCTTTACAACGCGAGGGCCACATTCTACAACAGAAGATAAGTAGAAGAAGGTCTCACTTAACATTGGGAGGGTCACACTCCTACGCGGGAGATATACAAAATGTATTTGGTAAATATAAGGTATAGGGCTCTACAATAGGATGGTCAATCTATGTGGTTCTTTCGCAGCATGGAACCAGACTTGTAAACATTTTCCTCGATTATTTGGATATGTTAGAGTGGCCTCCCTTTATAAGAGCTCTTCGCGCGTCGTAGGTTACCGCCATAGGATTTTCTTTTCCAGTCGTTGGTGCCAAAATATATTCATCACATAACACCAACGGGAAATTTAAGAGAACAGTACATGTAGGTAGATGTACATCAGTTCAAAATAATGTTCTTCCATGTACCAAGTCCGCCACAAGTACAGCTAACATTAGTATTCGTCGATAGTTGGGAGACTACATGTAGCTGTATTGGATTTAACATTTATCTATATGTATATTTCTGTACGCCTATATGCAATGCGCATTTGGTAATAAATTGAATTGAAACAAGACAGGTGAACTCCAGTTCACATCGATGTGCACTGGAGTAATCACTGAAGTGAACTGGAGTTCACATCGATGTGCACTGGAGTAATCACTGAAGTGAACTGGAGTTCACATCGATGTGCACTGGAGCTAACTACAGTTCACAAGGTGATTTTCTTTATCATAATATGTCTGGCCTTTTCATCAGTCTGTACATACTACGATTTTCTCCCCTCCCGTCTGCTCTATAAATCAATCAATAAATAAAATTTTAAATGTTTCCTATTCATATACTTTAAATGATTTAACTATAGACCGTGATAACATATTAAATTATTACCACATGCACCAACTTGGATCCATGTTACATGTATATAATACTTTGTCTTTAAGACATAATCACCATTGAAGTTAATTAACGTTCCTTTACAGCTTTAACAGAATGGTGTCTACATTTAACATACAAATCGATCATTATACTATTAGTACATAATAGTGAGTCTTTTTCTGTATGTTCATTTTGGAAAAAAATGGAAAACTTATAGGGGTAACTTCGTGTACTGTGAATAAGAAAAAATACTATAAGTATATATATATTGTCTCATTCAGGATGGGTAACAATATTAATGTACTGTAGTTACAGGTATATAGATGTGAGTTTCAACAAATCATTTATTAAGATACAATTAAATATGTATGTATTCTAATTGGCTTTTCTACAGGTACATCAAACCTGTCTGAGCCCTGCAGCTAACACAGGAGAAGGGAGAATCTGGGGTTGAAATGCTCTGAGGGTGTGTGTATTACACAAGGTATAGGGTCTGATGTCAATTTACATTTACCTCCTGATCAGAACCCAGGGGAAAAATCTGAGTAGAAGGTTTATTTGGGGAGGGGGGAATACAAAACACTGTATATAAATATACACCAGCTGAAGAAACTATATTTCTCTCTTTCTATCTCTGGAAATGGGGGGTTGGAGGGCCCTTACCCTAAAAACATCCCTATGCACAAATGATATATGTATTTTCAAGGGGATTTCATATTTTTTTCAATTGTCTCTTTTTAAATCAGGTTATCAAGAAAACTCGGAATTTCTTAAAATGGAATGTCTATTGATGTCGTGTTATAGAGAAACCTTTCATAAAAGGTATAAGATTATAGGAAAACTTACCACATTTACCCATATCACATAACTGATACTGATCCCCCATCCCAACACTACAACATTGATATGAAATGTGATATGAATTTAACTATGATAAAGTGTGCTTTTAAACTTTTTCCTCTTAAATAGTACAGCTATATATATATACATATTGTATATATTATAAAAAGAAAAATTCTCAACAACGAGTCTTTAGTACTTTCATCTCTTCTAGGAGATTCTTCAGACTGAAGAATCTCCTTGAAGAGATGAAACTGAAAGTACTTAAGACTCGTTATTGAGAATTGTTCTTTTTATAATATTTCTTCTTCCGTAAGGATCATTTTTCTGATTTATAATATATATATTAGATATATATATAGTCTCTATCATCACCAGAGATAGTGTACACATGCGGTTGGAATTCTAAGTATTTAAAAAAAAACCAAAATGTGTATCGTTGATTCGATATTAATCTCTTTCAATTTTCATATCACAAAGGAACCAATTTCATAATAAACAATTAATGAAATATGTACTTCAGTCTTTTATACTTTGGTAAACATTGTAGTGCACTAGAGTTAACACTGAAGTGAACTGGAGTTAACACTGAAGTGAACTAGCTGGAGTGCGGCCGCCTTTGCACTAGCTATGCACTAGCTGGCCACCTGTGCACTAGCTGGAGTGCAGCCACCTGTGCACTAGCTAGAGTGTGGCCACCTGTGCACTAGCTGGAGTGCGGCCACCTGTGCACTAGCTGGAGTGTGGCCACCTGTGCACTAGCTGGAGTGCAGCCGCCTGTGCACTTTCTTGTTCACTATGTTAGATACCAAGTTAAGTTTGCTCCCAACTGTACGCGGACTACTGTACACTACAGTAGTGTTGTCTACATTTAACAATAAGCTTTGTTACACCTCAAGTGAATTTCTAGCTATTTGATTGGTTGGGAGAAAATTAAACAAAAATCTCTGTCACCCTCCGAAAATACAATGGTTTTTAGGGGCGCGGGGGATATTGCCATGAGACAGTGAAAAATATCACATGCGCAAAAAATGTACGTGCACCGCTTCGTTTCCCCACCGTGATGGTCACAAGAACGTTTGGCGGCAACAGCCAATTTCATCAAGCGCCGGTGCGATAGCGATTGTAAACAGCAGACTATCAACAAACAAGATGTCATTATCAAGGTTTGCTGCCGTTTCTGAGCTCCAACGCCTTTTGGTGTAACAAAATAGATATGACATTCATTAGCAGGCGACAGTGAATATTGTCAACCCTCAAAAACCCATTGTCACCCTCGGCTTCGCCTCGGGTGACAATGGTTTTCTCGGGTTGACAATATTCACTGTCACCTGCTAATGAATGTCATATTTATATAATAATAAGCTGACAATATTGCCTTTTGGAGTCTCATAAGTAAAATTAACTTTGCCATCGATGCGTGGAAATAACGTATAATAATTCAACCTGACAAATATTGGTCTGTTTAAACTTGGTGACACTTATTTTAATGTATATTATTGCCTTTTAGTGTCTCATAAGTTTGGTTGGATATTGATCTGGTTTTAGGTACATTTTACTTGTTTTGAATAAAATAAAGTATTATCATTATATTTAAAATCGACAGATGCTGGTTCAATGGCGTCAGGATCAGGTACCCAAAGGGGTAATGCTAAGGGTCTACTTGCCGACTGGGAACTGGTGACCCCCAACGGACCCTCATTGACTTTCCATGTTGGCTGTATTCTTGGTAAGTTCACGAGGTCCTTATTCACTTCAAATGAATGAAAACTGGTACTCACAGTAAAGTTAAGACTAATTGTTATTTTCACAGCGTATACATTTTGGCCAATCTTTACAAATTTTCGTTCAATCATCAAATTTGCAAAATGTTATTCCTGATTTTTCCTACGGTACTATCAAATTTCTAAATCCAAACTGAATTTGATATGTAAATGTGACAGATTTATATCGTACATAGGATTACAGTTGCCTTCAAGTTTTTTGCTAGAGGAAATTTCCTTCTAGGTCATGAATGGTAGAGCGTTCAACTAGGAAACCTAGGGATTGTGGGTTTGATATCTGGTGGAAGTACACTCACTCTCTTTCCTGTTATATAAATATCTTTGCCCATGAATATATCTATACATGTAAACAATTGTTTGAGTTTTCATTGCTTAAAACATGTCAGCTGTCAATATAATCGTGAATGTTTTGAAGGTGCTAAAGCAACCGAATGATACAATATTAATGTATAAAGCTCTCTTCATACATAGTCCCTACTGTCATTGGTTGATCATAACTTCTTTAAGATATTTGAAAATGAAAATTCTTGAAGGAAAAATAGCAAAATAATAAATTGTAAAAATTAAAACCAGACATAAAACACAAAAAATAAAATAAAGTTTACACCCTTAGCAAATTTACTTTTGATAAATAATAGTTCACTTTTGCTTTCTGTGGGTAAAACAGTTATTTTGTGTCCTACTCTGTTGAACGCAGGCAGTGACTTGTACATACATAGTGGTATGGAGACGAAGGACGGAAAACAGCCATCGGACAAACTTTATCGCTACAGCGCTGGCTCAGCATCGTGGCAAGAAATCAGAGCCACAGGAAGCCCCGCCCTCAGTCACCATGCTTGTGTGTCGTTAGCCGGTAGATACATGCTTCTGATTGGAGGATGGGATGGAAAGTCTAGGACAGGGAAGGTCGTGGCCTTTGATTCTGAAAAACAGCAATGGCTGGTGCAGGAAACCAGTGGTTTCCCTGGTGATGCCGGGCTCAGTTCACACACAGCAACACTTCTGGCTTCAGGGGAGATAATTATTTTCGGACGAGAAGGAAGTTTACGGATGCAGAGACGTCATGGCAACGGTTATATGTTAACAGGAAGTGTAGAGTCTGGCCGTTTCACCTTTAAAGAATTTACAAATGCTGCGGCTTCGAGATCAGGTCATACCTCAAACATTGTCGGAAATAAATTGTGTATAGTTGGAGGGAGAGAAAATAACTTAATAGAAATTCATGACAGATTTAAAAGTGGTGAAAGTGACAGCCAAGCTGTACCCAGTAAACTCTTAAGTATCGTAGAAAAGCTTACACCGATGTCAAAATTACCTGGTGGTCGAAAAAACCACATCACGATTAGTGGTCCTGGAATTATCTTTATTCACGGAGGCGATACCTTTGACGGTAGAAGTCGGGAATCTGTTGGAGAAATGTTCCTCGTAACATTTAAACCAACAATGCAATTCTACAAACTCGGTGACAGTCCTGTGAGGCGATCTGGCCACATTTGTTGCATTATTGGTGACAAGGCGTTCCTTCATGGCGGGATAGGTGGGAAAAATAACAGTCATGTGTACAACGAAACCTATTGTCTGGAGTTTAAATAGCTAATTATATCAGAAAGGTACACTTACTCACACTTATTGTCAAATTGCCAAATTTTACATTTCTGTTCATATCATTTCTTCTTGAAACACATTTTTCATACATGTATGTATATTATAATTTGTTTCTATCGTGTATTTTATAGTCTTCTCAGTACCATGTTCTGTAGAAGTATTATAAGTATTTAGGAAACGGAAACAGATTGATATCGGTTTAATAACTTGTTTCTGGATCCTATTTCATGTATGTAATATTAAATGTCCTGTATATTGTAATTGCAAATATACGAAATAAAATATTTTTTATACTAAGTATTTTACTACTTGGTTCTCAATTACAAAAATACAGATACAGTATTGTATTGTTTTTCATTAGCTAGAAAGTCATTGAAATTAATTTTGTTTGCAGGTGTACAAAAGCGTAGGAATGGACCCTCAATTACCTTAACTGACCTGCTCCAGAGTAACCAGTTTTATAAGGTCGAACAAATAATTATATATAACCAGTCAACTAACCTACCCGGGATTTAGTAGCTAATCAGGGTCTTTTTTAACTGTTTTATATAGGCTCTATTCAAGTCTTAAATGCTGCCTCTATCATGTCTATGTATCAATTTAACTTTGTAAATGTCTGCCTACTTTGCATTATGTTTTGGTTAAAAGTTGTAAATAGGCGATGTGGAGGGTAAAATCAGTTTTAATGAAATGATGTGTAGACTCAAACACTTCTTAATGTGAGGATGTTTATTCTTAATCCTTGAGGAAGGTTGGTGTTTGTCATTATTAGTGACTCTACACTACAGAAACATCAAACACTTTATTATATGGCCATCATTTGTAAGGCAACATTTTGGCTTAGTAAACGGGTTTATCATTGTATAGATGGCAACATAAAATGGAATGTAAAGAAAAGAGAAAACGAAATCCTCGATGGCGTTGGCATTATAACAAGATTTTACTGTACCACTACGTTGGTATCGTATCCAAGTTCATTTCAAAGTATTTCAAATTCTCATTCTATGTAACAATGTGGATGTATCTACTGGTGAACTATCAGTCCCCAAGGTTGGCCGTACTCTGTTAGTGAACTATCAGTCCCCAAGGTTGTCCGTACTCTGTTAGTGGACTATCAGTCCCTAAGGTTGGCCGTACTTTGCTGGTGAACTATCGGTCCCCAAGGTTGGCCGTACTTTGTTGGTGAACTATCAGTCCCCAAGGTTGGCCGTACTGTGCTGGTGAACTATCAGTCCCCAAGGTTGGCCGTACTGTGCTTTTGACCTTTCATTACCGGAGGTTGACATATACAGTATAAATGTTGCCAAAAGTTGAAAATTGTAACATTATTATATTTAGGGTTTTATAAGCATCTTTCCCTTTTTGCTGAGTTTAACATATCTTTCAGAACACTTCAGTCATGGATTTTTTTTTTTGACCTTTACTTTAGTAAAACTGATTATTTCTTAGTGGATGAAATGGCCATCGTTTCATTGTTTGGCTTTCTGTATCTGCAATCAAAATTTTCAGATAGGTGCTTCATTGCTTTGTATATTCGTGATTAATATAAAAGTAATAGTCACCACAGAAAGCCAAATCAGAAAGGGCCGAGACAGGGACAAAATTTTGTTAGTTCACATCGATATAATAATTCATATCTTCATGAAAAGGTTTTACAATGTATATATAGTTCAATAAACAACGCTGACACAGTTTGATATTTGTTGATCTCTTCATTAGAATGTCAACAGTGCATAAACACGTGGAGGAGTGTGTCCATGGTAACCATACACAACTAGGTACCTAACACAGGAAGTGATGACATAGTCTACATGCTCAGCATGATGTCCTTGAACAGGAAGTGACATCAAACAAAAATTGTTGACAGGAAATGACATCATACAAATTGTTGACAGCAGGTGACGTACAAATTAATGACTGTAAGTAACATACAAATTGTTGACAGGAAATGACATTATACAAATTGTTGACAGGAAATGACATCATACAAATTGTTAACAGGAAGTGACAAATTGTTGACAGGAAATGACATCATACAAATTATTGACAGGGAAGTGGGTTGGTATTGCACATTTTTTTGTCCAAAATAATTCACAAGGTAAAATGTCAGAAATAACTTAAAGATGTACAATTATTCCTATAATATCTTTCCAGAGGTATGACTCCGTATACCTAGTATACTCCTCATCGTTGATGATAGGAAATGTCTTATATACAATGTGTTAACAGGAAGAGGTGTAATGATCAATGTACAGTTAATCATGTCAATTTCTACGACATTATTGAACAAATATTTTGACATAAGTGTATGACATTATACTTAGCAGATAAACACGGTACTATATACAGACTGTAATAAGACCTCAGTGACATTTAAATCTTGTCAAACATAACATGAACACGGAATGAAAATATGTTACATGCCAACATTTCTTGATATGGTTGAACTTTTACCAATTTCAAGTAAGGTTTTGTAAAATGTTATAACAGTTTTACTGCATGGTATTGTTTTTATTGGACATGCTTTCAAATTAAGATGACATAGTTTGATGACCAAAAAACACATAGAGACACAGAGATGTAACCGGGGAGTAGAAAAAAAGGAGGAACATACCCTAGAAACCTCTTAATGCTTCAGAACAAATCAAGAACTTTTTATAATCAAGGGAAAGGTAGAAAAAGAGGAAATCCTCTGAAAGAGGCGTACATGTATCATATCCCCGTATACATACACGACAACCCTGTGTATTGAATTGTCAAGCTTACAGATTTAGAGAAGATGAAGTATGCTTGCAGTTAATTATGCTGAGCCTTTTGATTGGATGATCTCTCCAAACTACACAGGTATAGCTTCTTCAAATCTTCTTTTTCTTTAAACAGCATGATTATTCAATACACAGGGTGAGATCAATTTAAAGTACAATTTTATATTTTATATTTACTAATCAGGTACATAATATTTGAAATATCTTTTTCCAGATTTGACATCCTGGCAGCAAAACATGACAATCTAATTATAATTAGCCAAAATTCAAGTACCTGTGATACATTGAAACATTTTATTTTTTTTAAGAATGATTGCAAAATTAGCAGAAAGATGTGTCATTATTATAGACCTAATATTTATTATGTATATTATTATCATCTACCTGTACACTGTAAATTTATGATGCATATTATTTCATCTACCTGTACACTGTAAATTTTGCATAGTCAATTTGCATCATATTTCAACACACAGATCAGACCTAAGCATTCGGCTATCACAACTGTATACATGCTGACAGGATTTCTGAATTTGTGACACTATCATACAAGATAGGAAGAAGTCAATGTGTCAAATACCCCATTCTCAGAGACAACTGATTCCAACATTCATTAAATGGTAAAGTGAAAAATAGATTTATATTGTGGTTTCAACATACAGAAAGCTGTGGCTTTTTGAGTCGGACCAGTCATTGACTGCTAACCTATTTATATGTTACCACAGATCTAGATAACCCATGGCTTTTGTGTTAAGCCTACCCTAATATACTGCCACACAAGATAAGGAGAAGAAGCATTGATAAGCCTATTGCACACATATAACATGGGTGGAAAATTACAATGGCTGGAATGGAATTCAAACGAAGAACCTCTGGGCTCGTAGTCATGAAACCGTTCTCATGCTAAAGCATGCATTCTGTGCTCAAGCCAACTTTATTGTAACTCGTTTAAATCATGCCAAACAATCAAAATGTCAAACGTAAACACTGAAAACAGTATCCGGATTCAAGTCTCTTCAAGTATTTCCTAAATCATTGACAAAATAAAATTATTTTATTTATTTATAACCAGAACAATAAATTAGGCTTGAGCACAAATTCCATGCTTAAGCATGAGAATGGGTCCATGAATTAATACGGACCCTGAACTCTTAGACAATGTGCTATAAATAAAGATGAGCTACCGATACATTCCTCCCTCCTTTAACAAAGTCGTCAGTCCATTGACACACGAGACCCTATGGCACCTTATGTGGGTATACTTGATTGGGCGCCAAATGTAACCTGTACGAAATAACGTTAACAGGACTGGAATCATGGTAGTTCAGATTCTTGACGGACAAACTAACCAACTGAGTTACCTTATCCCTGATTTTCGACCCAGTTCAGTTCTGCTACATGTATAAACTGTACATCGTGTGAAATGTTCGGAATAATGATGAAGATTTTAGTTTACTTTGATGATCAAACCCTCAGTTGGGTGGCATATATCTGCCATCTACTTTTGTCCTACAAGCTACCTAATTACATATTAGAATATAGGCATAGGATATGTTGTGTCTATTACCTGTGATCATGTCCACATAGGTAACTCTTAAGTTGAAAGTCGATGGCAGAAATATACCACCATACCATAAAGGTACAATAAGCTTAAGGTAGCCATAACATGTACCGATGAAAAACATTTATTATCTAAACATATGAGCTACATGCCATTCTACGTTCAACATATGTCTACAAAGGCGTGAACCGAAAGACCAAACATGTTGGACCACCAGGACAATGGCCAACATCACAACAAAAACTTAATAGCAGTTTGCAACAGCGAAAAACGTAACAACGACCTGGTAACTCGCACACACAAGTCAATTATTGTTTGTAAACACATTGTTATGTATTGTTACCGAACGTCCAACACAAAAAATCCCACCTCAAGTTTCACATGGTATAGAGACACTGATTCTCCATGATTACTTCAGGAAATAAAGACGTTACCGGTATGATGCTTCTGTGGTCTTGATGAACGAAGTATAAAATCAATGTAATGATCGTTTCAGAAACACGAGTGTGTATTGGCATCAGGGGACAGTGAAAGCTTGTAAGAGATATAACCAGTAGTATTAGAATACATATAGTACTCAGCGTGACCATCACCGCGGTTTTGTTTCTATGTCTACAAACATTTTATATTTGAAACGAAATACTCATTAGACTCAAACTTTCTCTTGAGATTTCATCTTATCCCTTACTGTACCACTTTCCTTAGGCAAGAGAACAAATATGCATGTTATTTCTACGAAAACATGACTGATCACAAACTTTTGTTCACTTAACTATGGCAGTAATGTTACTATGACCATAAAGATTTGCATTGACATAATTGGAAACTCATGTTGTGTTCAGAATGAAAGGATCATCTGTTCTGAACCCCAGTATACAGTTTTTAATGATAAACCCAGACCCTGCCACATGTAGATTATCAATAACAATATATAATGCGTACTTGCCCATTTAACTCAAAGCACGGCATCTCAGTTTCTTTCAAGATTTACAAAATCTAACTCAGAAACAATATTTATTTGTTTTTATGGTTTTAATGATAATAAAAAAAAGAAAAAAAGATGAAGTTTGGCAAAAAAGTAAAAATATGATTTTTTCTTCACAGAAGAAAAATCAAACAGGAATTGATTTTTGTGTGCAATGATAGAAAATTGTATAATATGTATTTAGAATACATGCTACAGAAATAATCCATCTGTACATTTCCCTCTAGGTTCAGAGTGCTATCATATATACTGCTTACCCTTTCACCACCGTACCATAGACTATAATGGACTCATCCCTATAAATGCATGGTAGAGTCTATGAAAGTTACCTAGGGGTGAAAGGGCTAATTACCGACCTGGCCCCAGTTTCTCAGAGAGAAATCCTGAAGTTTGCAGAAAGTACCTTCATCATAATGTTTTCCCCTGAACTTCAGAAGCACTTTCTACAGGTGAAATGTAAGTTATAATAAAGAAAACTCTTAAACTTGGGCCAGGTCTGCAAATTAGTTGTCATGGTTTTTAATTCTTTCTGAACAATTTTTCTTCCACTTTCACTAATATACCGTACTGTCAACCTCCATTTACATTCACTAGAGACATAATACATGATCACAAACTGCAGCGTAATAAACATCAGGTATGTATATACCCGATAGGTAGGTTTCCTCTTGTGTAGCTCACTGACCTGTTTTTATTAATGTGTGCCGGTGTACTTGGTGTAGTATGACATCACAAAACATTACTACATTTTATTCCTTTTTTTTTATAAGGTCAAAGTTCATATTAAGGTTGTGACCTGGATATTAACCTATAAAAATGTTTCCAACAGTATAAACTGTGACAATGTGATATATAATATAGACGTTCACATGTACTAAGCATATCAATATAAACAGCCCAATGAGCTACATAAAAGATTACCCCCACATAACCGCAACATACAAGATTATTCACATATTAATAACATTACTTTTTTACACAATAGTTCATAAAACATAGGCTAGGTGTTTCTAACACGTCAATAAACAACCATTATCATATTACTACTATCACAAGTCATCAGACAAATCAGTTAATATATGAGATATATTTTACAAACAATACAAACGTTGTGTAGCATGCAAGAATATCAACAAGTGAACAATTGCCAGCTTCAGGACCAAGACTAGATAATGGGCGTGTCAGTTGTTTGTGATGTGGAACATCATGTACTCTATCATGATCGGCCATTACAGAAAATCTAATGGTTCCCCAACATACAAACATCAACACTTTGCATTTCAAATGTTCACATGATATCAAAACACAATTAGCAAGTTTTTTTTCCATTCATTCAGTGATTTTTTTACTTCAGATGTATAAAGAGAGGATCAACTTCAAATTAAATTGATAAACATCTAATTGCCAATAAAAAAAAGAAAAATTGAACTACTGGTATTGTTTCCGTGCATGATCAGAGATTGCGTTGCGACAATGTATAATAGATCTTGTTGTAGTTTACTAGTTATGCACCTTAACTTTAACCTGTCGTATATGTCACTTAATACCATATTTCAATAATGATGCATGCACCATATAAACTCCACATAGAATCCACCTCTACAGCTTAAGTTGTATGCTCCCTGATTAAGTTAAACTTGTGATACTGTAAGAGTTACATTTCTAAATTTGTGATGCTTGATTATCATCACAGTCACAAGTAATTACATAATTGTTCTTTCAAAAACAATTTTGCGATGATTTGAATTTGCAAAGGGAACAACTACAGATGTATGGTTCATGCTTGATCATGCCTGAATAAACATTTGTGGGATATCTAAATTTTGCAATCGCCTCTTTCCTTCAGGAATATCACGAATATATGAATATTTCGCGAAATAAAAGTGATCTATTGTACATATTGAATACATAGCAACTTTATTCCCACCAAGTAGGAAACTCTTGTTAAACTTCGTCACTGATGCCCAAGCAAAAATAAAACCAAAAATGCATTGAGTATATTACCATAAAGCCATCAAATGACTTCATATGCATTCTTATATATGTACATCCCTGAATCCAACTTAACAGAATTGGAACTGGCCAATATTATCAACCAATCAGATTATCAGAAGCCCTGTAGCCCTTATTGTATTTGGACTATCAACCAATCAGATTATCAGAAGTCCTGTAGCCCTTACTGTATTTGGATTATTAACCAATTAGACTACACCATGAACTAATCATCGATTATCAATAAATTAGAACTTGCAGTGAAGTAATAATCAAACCTCTTAACTACATTTTGTCATCCCACAATCTTAACCTATGCTCAACTGATCAGTCACCGGAGGGTTCACCAGGAACTGATAGAAGTATCTAAATAATGTAAACCACTTTATTTTCAAGAGAGATTAATTTTCAAGAGAATCATTCTCGATTATAAATCTTCTGTGAATATCGCGTTCACTGATAACGAAACTATCCATAGTAAAATAGTATCTGCTGAGATGCGAATGCAACATACAGACATACGTTGTGAAATTGAGTATTCGTGAAAATACGGTGATTTGCAGTAACCAACCATTCAGCACCGAGGAGCACTTCTGATTTTGTCTGGGACTCGGTTCTACACAACAGTTTGTTTCAATGTGGATTATATCACCAACAACAAAAATGTACGGAATCGTTGTTATCGATTCGCCAAAGTCAACGTGTGTAATTTGGCAGTGATGGCGTGATATTGACGTAATATCACAATTTGCTAGATCTAACTTGTCGCCCGGTGTCAGAAGATGTCCGGACATTTGGACCAGTCTCGGTCCCAGTAATTGCCTTTAAATAACCAATCTTCCTTGCCAGTGTGTGGGTTGGTTCCAAACTTGAAAAATCTGCAACAAATAAACAGGCTATATATTTTTATGTAAAACAGCAACATATCAAACAACTCGAAATCTTATACTTTCTGATTTGTTGACTGTTTTGAGGCATCAAGATACGAAAGAAAGGGACGAGGGCTACATTCGTTCATCGTGATCCAAACGATTGAACCGGTTGGACCAGAGTTGTTCGTTAATCAAATGAGGTCAGACCTAATAATCTGATACGGCTTTCAGGTGAGCCTTGCAAGGCCTGCATAAACGTTTGCAGGTCTGCCAGGATTTATACCGGAACATATTACATTTGAAAACAGACAAACTGGTTGAACTGGATACACAAAGGGGGCCTAGGTCGAGGAAACAGTATAAAAATGCTGAAGAAATAAAATTGGGAGAAAATGACAGTCTAATAAAAAAAATAGTATATTATTCATATGAGGAGATGAAAGGGAAAATTGGAGTTTGACTTTTACTTTATTCAGTTATCTCCCCTTTCATGAGTTAAGTTTCTTACACTGGTGTCCATTCATCCTTCCTGCGCTTCCTCTCTTTCCGGGCAAATCTTTGTTTCTCTTCTATTCTGTTTTTCTCCGCTGCGGCAGCATCTAGAACCAAACATTATATATTGTAACGGTTGTGTTGGTGTCAAAAAGGTTCATCAATTATTAATTTTTTTTAATTTTTTTTTTTAAGATTTCTTTACGGTCAAATATTAAAGAAACATGTATTTAAAGTATTGCTTAAGTGTTCAATGGAAAAACAAGTGTCATTTCTATTAAGTAATATGGAGTTCATTATATCAGAACAAGAGAAAATCAGCGGTGGAACAGTAAGCACCCATCCAATTCTATGCACATGCAGGTTTTGTTCAATTTAAAATTTAGCCTTTTTCATGGTATAACAGGAATACTGACCAAGTTTCACCTGAATCTGTTTGGTAATATTAAATTAAGCTGAATTTTGCGCAACTTTGAAAATATAGCCGTACACTTTGTACATTGTCCAAGTTCACCAAGTTCCATAAAATTGAATATTTTAGCAAGTTGTCTTGTGGAAACCAAAGCATGGACGGGTGAACGCTACCCATTCCATAAACCGTAAAAATATTGAAAAGGGTGAAAAAATAATGGGAACTAAATTAAATTATTGTGTAAATCCATGTACTATGAATATTGAACACAAGAAAACGACATTGTTTGATTCATACAGACCTGATGAGTAAGTATATTATACAAACTTACCTATCTGCCCTTCCTCCAGAAGGCGAATGTCTGGCCGTAAGCGTGAATCTGTGGGAGCGAGCTGTCCTGCTATATCTGGGGTCAACTCATTCAAGGCCATGGCGAACAATGTGAAACTGAAATACTTAATATACAACACATCGACTGTTTAACTCCATCAAATGTTGCTTTCAACACAAATTTAGTAATTCTATAAAAAAAAAAAAATGAAAAATTTACAGAATATTTTGAAGAGAATAGAATTAACATTAACAAAATTATCGTTGACAAAATAATTTGTTGTGGTTTTATTTATTTATTCTGTATCAATGATCCATACATTTATTACATGGTTTTCAGGGATGGGTTTGGTTTGTTTGTGTTTTACGTCCTATCAACAGCTACGGTCATTTAAGGACGTGCCAGGTTTTGGTGATGGGAGACTTTTAATGATAATGAAATGACAAGTTATGCAGTGATAAGCTTTTTATGAACGGAGAAATATATAGGGTAGTGGTTTATAGACGATAAACAGTTTATTTCACAATGTTTTCAGAGTTTATTGTTCGAACAATTTTCTCATTGCACACACATGCATAAAATCTTGAGTCCAAACAACAAACTCTGAAAACAAAGTTTGATAATCTTTAATCATAGTTTTTATCCCATTTGTCCTCATTTCCAGAGATCTTAATCCAGAGGTTACATTTGTCGTGTGAGGATCTCTACCGCAATGGTATAACACAACCACTTTTTTACACTGTTGTTTTCATTAAAGAATACCTGTAGGGATTTTTCTGGGCGTGGGTGTATCGTCCATATACACTCTTGCCCTGGAATGTGGAGGTCGTATGTTGATAAGTGTTTTACGGAAATGTCATCGTTTACGTCGGAACTCCCACTAGCACCGTTGGACTGCAAATGTCAAATTAATGGTCTAAATGATTCGCAAAATGAGCATTTTTCTACGTACCCTGGTAAGTACAACAACAATTGTAAATTGTTAATACTATGACAAACGAATTCAGTGATCAAACTATTTTGTAAATATGATGCTACAAAATAAAATTACAACTTCCAACTTAATTACAGACCATCATATTCATGAAACCATGAACTCGAGTAAAATTTATTGTAACTTGCTTAATTGATATAACAAGTTAAAAATGTCAAAAGTTAAAAACAGTAGTTAAGTTAAGTCTCGATCCTATCCTAATTCTTTGACAAAATTATTAAAATACAGTACATTTCACTTAATATCACACGCTTAATGTCACTTTTCAGTTATTATCATATTTTCTTGATGCACCGTTTTTCCTGCTACATTTGTATAATCATTATAAATCTACCAATGAATGAGAATTTGGGCTTGAGAATGGTTTGTTTAATATGGACCCAGATGTCATGGAATTTGGGGAATGACACGCGACTTACTTTGGCAGAATGACACGCGACTAACTTTGGCAGAATGACACGCGACTTACTTTGGCAGAATGACACGCGACTTACTTTGGCAGAATGACTGGGTGACTGAGTAGATGCTGAATTTTTCATGAAGCCATCGTAATCGGCCACATCAAGCATGAAGAGATCGTACACCCAGCTCCCGTACAACGCCTTCCTCTTCACCTTACTGAAATAGCAATACCCCAATACAGTCATCCCACCGTAGACACCATATTCATTCTTTCTGTTAGCACTTTCCTAAACTATAACGTTGTCACTGACTGCATCTTCCTCAATACACACATAGCATTTTAACCCTTTCACCCCTATGTAACTGTAATAAACCCTACCATGCATTGATCTGGATGAGTCCATTATGGTCTACAGTGGTGAAAGTGTTAAGGTTAAGGGTAAAAGAAACGTTCCACTCAAAGAGTTTCACTTTGACTCGGAGTAGTCTCCCTTCTATACAGAATATAAAGCAACCGAGAGGAGTTTTTCTGGTTAAGAGTTACTTCCCTTGTAAATTTTTTTTATATGATTTGTGGCCCTTAAATTGGACACTCAGTTTGATGCTGTGCTCGTATAATTCCTGTATGTCAACATCGGTAAAGTGCAATCTTAACAATGTTCAACCCTTGCATTTTTCTCCATTTTCCAGGCATACATTCATTCATGTACAACACAGTTTTACTTTTGAATTTAGAAGTTTGTTATCATGTTAGGTCTTAGCTTTATCATTTTCACATAAGCGAGTTGTTTTGTTTTTAAATGTCTGTGAACCCATAACATTTCCATCCTTAATTTCAAACTAAATTAAAAACAAGCCATTCAGATTGATATGTGTTGTCTGTGCCCAACTTTGACCATCAATGTGCATATCGGAGAAATAACAAAGTCAATGGACCATGAAAGGTAGGCTGCATCCAGCATTTGATGCTTGGGTTGAGATGTTCTACCTAAGATGCATCTATGGTCCAAGTTTGGTTGGTCTAGAACTTAAATTTTCAGTGAAACTAAATTAGACACAAAAACTTAATGTTGACATTGCCGCCGCTACAGCTGGTGGAAAAGCAACACCTTAGTCTCGCTTCCGATACTTTGTTGCAGCGAGACAAAAAGAAAAATCTTGAAATTACTGTCCTCTCACAAATGCTGCATAAAATTGCCTCAAATATTGGTAACATGCTTATAAAGCTAATGTGTTGTTATGTGACTTCAATTCTAGAATCTACCCGAAACAAACCACAGAAATTGTAGGAACTAACGTCATGCTATTGTATTAAGAAAACAAAAGTACTTAATTTTGATTTCTTCTGGGGAGGATATCCGACATACCATCTATTTCAGACAGTAAGATCAGCATGGCCAGGATTACTGCTGACCACAGGCCAGGATTACTGCTGACCACAGGCAGAGTTTAAAGATTTTTTAAATTTTGGGTTAAATAAACAAAAGGCATAATAAATATAGCTGTCTGACATAGTAAAACACGTCTTCAATAAAAAAATTATTAAGCAATTACCTATTTCTCATAAATTGATATACTTTCTATCATATATTTTTACCTCACCAAACTATTCTAGTGATAAAAACTTACTTTTTATCGTATACATAGCCCTCGACTTTGTGTAGATCCTTGCCGAACCAGCCCGACTGTTTGAAGTTAAGTACACTCTTCCATCCTGTCTTGTGACACAAAATTTCCATTACTCCATACTGAAACAGAATTATTACAAATAGGTTTGAAAATACACTTTATATCGTGATCATGCTTAACATTCAGATATCACTCCCCTGAATGCTGCAGCCTGTTATAATATATATATTATATGTGTGATCACTGTATACGGTTTGTTTACCATTTTGCACTCTACCAGCAGCTAAGGTCATGACCTGGAGGTCATATTGGAAGGTCGGGTGGAGCAGTGGTTCACACCCTTGTCTTTAACTAAAGCAGCCTGATTTGATTCCCCAGTCAGATGTTAAATGGTACGAGCTTTAGAAAATGGTGACAGCGGCTGGAGTACAATTAGTGACAGTGATATTTTCCCCAAAGCATGCATATATATTTATTAATGGTAATTCAGGGGTGCTAAATTATGAAGACAGTGGATTATGAAATCATTATGTTACAAATACCTGAAGTGCTAAATCAGGATTACCACTGAATATAATTTTTTTATATTTAATCTGTAAGTTACAAATACCTAATTATAGTGTATGTTCCCAAATATATAGACTGTCTGTATATAACATATTCAAAACTCGTGGCAGTGATATTGTGATTGCCCTACGACTTTGTACAACTTACATAATCAGTCAAACATGACATCGTCACGGTAAATGACTGCAGACATCAACAACATCTCTTTATGTTTAAATAGTTCCAGTTCAGAAACGGTGAATAATATGATTATTTACTTCATACAGACAAGCTACATACATGTATGTGACAGTTCTAGTTCTGAGCAGAAATTCCAGTCAAGCTCTGTTTCCTACATAGAAACCATCTTTCCCCCAGTGATAAGCCCCTGTCCAGTTATTATACGCTCACTATAGCTTCTTGATGCAGACTGTAAATGACTGTTTTAACACATCAATTTATTGAACCAGATGGACCTAGAAGATGAATGTAAACTATCTCCCACACATATTGGATGTTGGTTCTTTCCCCGGCATTACAGCAATTCATTGTTTGCTTATTTTTTTAAATCAAAGTTTTATTTAAACACATTATGTATATCATTAGAAAGATGTTACTTTTGATCTGGGATATATATATATATAAATGATGAACAAAAAATCTCTGCTCTATAATATTTGTGTAAAGTAGAAAATATTTGTAAAACATATAAATGCACCTTTTCTAGCTTTTACAGATATGGAGCTTAATGAAATGCAAGTTGACCACTGTAGCCAGTAAAGCAGACAATATACATGTACATGAAATACATTTGATATTTTAGTGAAATGAACTCCTCCAAGTGTATATCTGTTTGGTAGAGCTTCAAGTGACTGCTGGACTTCTAGTATAAAGGTAATATAGCTGAACACAAAGTCACTGATGTAGATAATATAGGTCGCAGTGACCTACATTTTATGTATTGTTGCAATAGGTATCAAGAAATATCCATAAAATATGATTGGCGACTGTTTGACCTCTTTTAGTATAAATGTAATGGAGATTAATACAAAGTCATACGAAAGTCAGTGGTGTAGATAATATAGGTCACAGTGACCTAAATTCTATATATTGTAAAATAGAAGATTTGTGCGGAGGAATACGATGAACCTTAAAATTTTGGTTGATAATGAATTTATCATGCTACCGGTAAGTGTTATTATGTAGTATATAGATGCTAATATATAGGTCACAGTGACCTAAATTTCACATTTTAATGCAGTACTTCTCAGCAATTAATCTAAGCATGAAGTGATCTGTGACTTGTATTTTATATTGTTATGGAGAGTCTCCCGATTTTGGACCCTAAAATATAGACCATTTTCAGCCAGTAAAATTGCTAAGCTATTCACATCTATACAGTGTAAATTATTTTATTTGAAAGAAAAATTCAAAAGATGACATTCAGAAGTGTTATTTTCTACCTAAGGGGCACACATACACAACTTTTATTTATGTTTTTAATTTTGAGGATGCAGATTCTCCGCTATAGAAATTTCAAAAGGTTGGCGAGCATGGAATAACTTTGTATTAAAGTAAGGAGGATAATCTCAAAGTCTCAGCAATATGTTGTTTGGAAAAAATATTGGAAAACACTAAATGGCCCTACTATGTAGGGGAGGCATAAACATGAGTCCTGACATTATAACTGCTTTGTCTTCAGCTGAAAACTATTTAATATTCAAATTGAATTTTTCGAAACCGCATATTTCCACATTTTGTGCAGGCTTGTACATTTTTTTATATTTCTTTCATCACTTACACATTGTATTGTGAAATTCAATATGTATGGAAATATTGGCTCCCATAAAACCTTGTAGACTGTCAACATGTTATTACTGTAATGCTGCTTTTAACAGCGCTATATTTAACTGGCAGGCGTACAAACGTCGCCTCTTACATGTTCTATACCCACGACGTACTTAATCTGTTGTTATATTGGTCTATTATAATCACCCATTCTGACAGAACGTTCTTTTTATAACTTTTAGTTTATCACATTCAACTTTCTTCTGTTTTTCATCTGTTCAGTTGAAGGTGAATAAAATACATTTTCCGTCTCTCTCAAGAAATTCACATTTCCTTGAAACATTTTACTTGCATGAGTTGTACTTAATATATTATGACCCAGTACCTCGGGAACAATTCTTTTCAGGTATTGTTTGGAGAAGGAATGTCTTACACACTATTTAAATCATATTTACCACCCTATTCTTTAGACTAAGTTACAACACCAATCGAGAATAAGGCTTTGGTGCTATATATATACCACCCTATTATTTAGACTAAGGTACAAAACCAATCCAGAATAAGGCTCTGGTGCTATATATATACCACTCTATTCTTTAGGCTCAGGTACAAAACCAATCCAGAATAAGGCTCTGGTGCTATATATATATACCACTCTATTCTTTAGGCTCAGGTACAACGCCAATCCAGAATAAGGCTCTGGTTCTATATATATACCACCCTATTCTTTAGGCTCAGGTACAACACCAACCCAGAATAAGGCTTTGGTGCTATGTATCGCCCTATTCTTTAGGCTCAGGGACAACACCAATCCAGAATAAGGCTCTGGAGCTATATATATACCACTCTATTCTTTAGGCTCAGGTACAAAACCAATCCAGAATAAGGCTCTAGTGCTATATATATACCACCCTATTCTTTAGGCTCAGGTACAACACCAATCCAGAATAAGGCTCTGGTGCTATATATCACCCTATTCTTTAGGTTCAGGTACAACACCAATCCAGAATAAGGCTCTGGTGCTATATATATACCACCTTATTCTTTAGGCTCAGGTACAACACCAATCCAGAATAAGGCTTTGGCACTATATTCCACCCCACACTTTGAACTTGGGCAATATACAACCAAAACTTGAAAAGTTATATTGACCTCAACTTTGTCTTGGTCAATATCACTTTCCCATATAACCACACATTCACCTCAAGGAAAGTCAATAACTGATAAATATGTTACTCACATGTTCTATCCAGATCTTGCCTACGATAACGTTGTGGACACAACAGTTGACGTTGGACCATGTGTACACCTCGCCATGTCTGTAAAACAAAACGAAAGGTCAAATAACGCAATGAGTTGTCTGTTTTCTGTGTTTGGTGACACACAATACATCTCCAGCACACACACAGGCATACATACATAGGGAGATGTTAGCCAGGTGGCATAGGACTAGTAGTTAGCGCCTGATAAGGCAGCTCCTGCGAATTCCTCAATATTGTATTGATTAATATATATATATGCTAATTGCATTGACTGTATAAAATTGTATATCTATGTACTGTAAAGCGCTTTAGAGTGGCTTATGTTAGCTAGATAGGGCGCTATATCAAATGTTGTATATTTATTTATTTATTTATAATAAGGCTGTGTCAACAGAATGTGCTCTGTGTGTTAGAGAGATCACAAAGTCACTGTATACAACAATCCTCACAAGGGATTTCTTTGTGTGACCATACCGTATGTCTCCCCATATAGCCAATATTATTGACCCTTCTTTCACCTCTGACCTAGAAGAAGTAAAGGTCAATGTGAACAAACTTTAGTGTAACTACGTATCTATGGGTGATTTTGTTCTTCTAAAAACTATACACAAACATATCATGAAAAAGTTACATATTTTCCCACTTATTTGACCTTCGACCTGGAGTTGAAGGTCGCAATTATCAAATTGCAGTGCATTGCACACTTTTTTGTGGATGATGCAGTTACACATGGCTCAAATCACAGCCTGGACAAGACTTCTGTGGAACTTTTATATTATTTGACCTTTGACCTTTAGGCCTTTGGTCAGTGGTTTTTCTCCGTAACTCCGGCTTTCCTCCACCATCAAAACCTGCATGTCCTTAAATGACCAGAGCTGTTAATAGGACGTAAAACACAAACAAAACAAATGGAGGCCACAGTGACCTAATTACAGTGAACTGCACACCTTCTTTGGGTGATGCTGATACACTTCAAGTTTCATCAAGATTTCTTTTATTGGTTTTAAAGTTACGGCCTGGGTAAGATTATATTCATTTGATATAGGATGTGTATATGATTATAAATTATATATCATAGGGTATATATTGATAAGTATATCTATATTGCCTTATAGGTATCGCTTTCAAACCTTTACTCCACTATCAAACCTTTACTCCAGATGTAAGATTTTTGAAATGTCCAAACGCAAGGCTTGCTGATGCTTTGACAGTTGATTAGATTTGTTTTTTTCGCTTCAGCTTCTATTTCCAGCTAATGTCATTAAAGGAAGCACCTTTCTTGTATACTGGAGGCAGACTGTGTGGCATGGTGTATTTCCCTAATCCTTGTGATAGCGCGGATCTGATGTCAACTTTAGAGAGCTACTTCACTGAAATACTATACTGAAGGCACCCTGAGCACAGTACTCCACCGGTCACATTAAGGACTTGCCATTCCACATAAAACCCCAAAAGGTAAGGCAACAACTCATTTTCTTATACTTATAATAAGGCTGTTTCGATGAAAAAGAATTTCTTTCCATGTCGAGGTAAAATATTATGCCAAATGAGATTTTTTATTTTTTACCTTTGTTTTCATTTTGAAGACTTACTGTGTGGTTTCATTGGCTACACCCAAGGAAATGACAAGAGATATCAAGGCAAAAGCTAGACACAAATAAGGAAATGATGGCAGAAAAATCACAGGAATTCCCAACATAACATTAGAGAAATTGTATCATTTGTTTCAGTGATAAACAAAGGAAAAAATAGGAATACAAATCTCATTAATTTAAGGTTAATGATTCACACCTGACACTCTGTCAGAGATAGAATTGACTATCAGCAGGGAACAAATACCCCTTGAACATTAAGCTAGGTTAGTTTTTTTTTTTTTTACATAACAATCCTACAATTTTTTAAATTAAATTACATCATCACAGTCCAATTCCAGAAGCCTATGAATTTAACACAATAAATCCTCTTACCGAGTCAATATGGCAAGCCTGATTCCATTAACGGTTAATTACTTTCATGGAATCAGCGGAAGTAAAACTGGTTTACTGAATCGAGGGTTATAATCAGTGTGCAGTTTTGCATTCACCAAGCTCTTGCAGCCTGTATAGGCAGCCAGACCATATGATGTGCTGTGGATCAGGTAACACTCATTACACTGGGTCAGGAACAAAATACAATTGATCTGAGGAAAATGTTCAGTGGAATTTAGTCAGGGGGCCAAAACAGCTCAATTGGTATTAAATATTTATCAAAAATATATGCCAACAACATGTAAACATGTAGCCGCGGTGGCAGAGTGGTTAAGGCATCTGACATGCTGCTACCGCTAGCCCTCCTACACTGGGTCGCTGGTTTGAGACCTTCGTGGGGCAGTTGCCAGGTAATGGCAGTCAGTCGGTGTTTTTTCTCCGGGAACTTTGGCTTTCCTCCACCACCAAATCCAGGCACATTCTTATAAGACCGTAGCTGTACACGTTAACAGGATGTAAAACACAAACAAACAAACATGTACAAATAAAAGTCTAAGTAATATCCCACCGTGTCAGCTCCAGTGTAATCATTCCTTTCGGGTTGATCTCCACCGATTTGCCCCAGAACTTCAACTTCGGGTGGATGGACCCGTGGATCTTGAAATGTTTTGATTCCACCAGGAAAGCACTAACAGGCGGATGGTGACTAACCTGCTCACCGACCAATCGGAACCCAAGATCACTTCTAAAAGCACAAAACAATATCCATACTTTACTAATAGGTCAAAAAAAATTGTTATCTTCTTTTTTACTTTTTTTGTATTAAATGCTACACAACGTTAACTGCTATGATAATGAAGATGATAACGATGACGGTTATAATTGATGATGAATATGATGATGATGATGAAGATGATGACGGTTATAATTGATGATGAATATGATGATGAAGATGATGATAATGAAGATGATGACGATGACAGTTATAATTGATGATGAATATGATGATGAAGATGATGAGGATGATGATGAAGATGATGACAGTTATAATTGATGATGAATATGATGATGATGAGGATGATGATGATATCATAGTGAAAATGTTGATGACTATTTCATATTATATATTGAAGAGGATAATGAAAAATACTAATGATACACATGTCCACAAGTCCTGGGCTGTACTCATGAAACCGTTCTCATGCTCAAGCATGGATTCTGTGCTCAAACCAACTTTCTTGTAACTCACTCAAATCATGTCAAACGATCAAAAAGACAATGGTAAACATTGAAAATGTTATTTGATATTCTCTTTGTCAAATAATTGACAAAATAAGATTTCATATATTGATTTATAACTAGAAATAAGAAATTAGACTTGAGCACAAAATCCATGCTTGAGCATGAGAACAGTTTCATGAATACAGACCCCAGCTCCCTGGAATCATATTCAATGTACCATCAGGTACTGGAATTCAAAGCTGATATACTTCTAATTTTCAATGAACAATTATCTTTTGGGTTTCTTTAAAAACAAATCCACATCTTGAATATAAATGTAAGGTTGAACCTGGTCATTTGGAACTTGTACGAGTCCATCAGGCCTCCTGATGATAGATAAACTGATGTCTACCTTTGATGTGTGTTTAACGAATCAATGCAGGCCTTGATATTTGTTTACTGATCAAGCAAATATAAAAACAACAAAGCAGTCATGCCTACCTACGCCACCTAACGTAAACAGCATGAACATAAATGTATAGTGTTTGAATTTACTATTTTTGAATTGTGTATGGTTAACCAATGAGGGTTCAATACTTTACTGTTACTCCTATCTGAGCGACACCTTTCCTTTCTGAGATATTTAACTCTTTTCTGAATGACATCTTTCCTTTCTGAGATATTTGACTCTTTTCTGAATGACATCTTTCCTTTCTGAGATAGTTGACTCTTTTCTGAGTGATATCACTCCTTTTTAAGATAATTAACTCCTTTCTAAGTGATATCACTCCTTTCTAAGTGATATCACTCCTTTCTGAGAAAATGAACTCATTTCTTAGTGACATCATTCTTTTCTGATAAATATTCAAGACATGATCATCAAACTGTATCATACAATCATACGCCTGAAGAAGCCCTAGGGAGCAGTATACAGACGAGGGTTGTGGCCATGTGTGATATTTTTGTTAAATGGCTAACCCCTGTTTAATGATATGTAAAAAAAATATAAAAATAGAACTGTACTAAAATTGGTTTAAGCTTGATGAAGTGGGCTATGTGAGCTTCACATTTGTAAAAAAGGAAGAAGATTCTTTTTGGTTCGAGAATAAAGTTTTGGCAATAATCCGAAAGGGTGCAGGTTACACATGAAAAGCTAGCTTTACAGGAGGTAAAATTTTGACAACAGCACACGACGCACAATTGCAAAAAATCAAGTTTTACAACTTTACTGGGACCCAGATAATTCTGCAACCAGGTAGAGGTAATCTTTAATTTCAGACAGAGCTTAGGAAAAAAATTACTAGTTGCGGGGGTCAAATTTTGGGTTAAAAATAGCAATTTTTGGCATTTTTTGGTAATTTTTGATGTGGTAACCATGGTTTTCACACAAGTGACATACATAGAAAAAAGAGGTTTATACACTTCTCAGTACTTTATATGTATTGTAAATGTAATGCAGTTTACAAATATATATACATGTATACATGTGTTGTGTAGGGTAAATCCGCTGTGTTTACATTTCCTCGACATGTGCCTTGTTTATCAGAGTCGGGCCATTTCTACTGTATACTGCTTAGAAGGCAGAAAGGCCTAGCAGATGATCTGAAAAATTTATGTTTTTATTCTATATTTTCCATCGAAGGACTTATTTATTTATTATCTACTATATATATAATATAAAGTAGATAATAAATAAATAAGTCCTTGCGAAGGAAAATATAGAATAAAAACATAAATTTTTCAGATCATCTGCTAGGCCTTTCTGCCTTCTAAGGCTTCTTCAGGCGAAATATCAGGACAGTAATATCAGGATAATAATATCAGTAATATCAGGACAGTAATATCAGGACAGTAATATCAGGTCAGTAATATCAGGACAGTAATATCAGGTAATATCAGGACAGTAATATCAGGACAGTAATATCAGGACAGTAATATCAGGGCAGTAATATCAGGACAGTAATATCAGGACAGTAATATCAGAACAGTAATATCAGGACAGTAATATCAGTAATATCAGGACAGTAATATCAGGACAGTAATATCAGGTAATATCAGGACAGTAATATCAGGACAATATCAGGACAGTAATATCAGGACAGGACAGTAATATCAGGACAGTAATATCAGGACAGTAATATCAGGACAGGACAGTAATATCAGGACAGTAATATCAGGGCAGTACAGTAATATCAGGACAGTAATATCAGGTAATATCAGGACAGTAATATCAGGTGTCCTTTGTGTCACCTTCAATTTCATATATATATATAATTACTTAACTTATTTCTGCACGACAATTGCTCCCTTTTGAATAACTTAACTGTTTTTTGGAGTTACTTAAACTCAGTCTGAGTAATTTTAGTCCAGTACAAATAATTCGACTAATTTCTTGGCATTTTTATTCTTTTGCATGACTTAACTCCTTTCATAGTAATTTAACTCTTTGAGTTTTTATTCCTTTTGACATTATTTTTCCTTTTTGAGTAACTCTACTAAATGCTGAGTAGCAGCAGAAATATCCAGGGACATCTAAGCTGATAACACCAGGAGACAGTAATATCAGGTGTCCTTCGTGTCACCTTCAATTTCATAATTAATGAAGGGGAACGATGAGGTAATTTTCTGCTTGATTTAAACTTCAAAGGGAAGTGAATATCAACATAGAGAACTTTATAAGTATGAACGTAAGCTAGTATATATCAAAGTGTTTACACCTGTAATTCCAATATTTACCTATTAAATATCACTCCTTGATGAACACTGAATATTGATTGGTCCTGCTAAATTAGAGCCTGAAGCAGTTTTATAATTAGTTTTCTCATTCTAATGAAAGCTATAAAATAATTCCAGCATGAAATAAAAAACGATTTTGTATCTTCGACAGAAAGATGATACAGTTTAATGATCATGTCTTGAAATACACAGAATAAGATTTTTATCAACCTTATTGATCACGTAGAATCAATATATCATTATATAATTATGAATATCCTTACTATATACGGAGAAGGAAATGTGGAAATTCTCGAGACAGACAGAAGGGAAACATGGTTTCCGGAAACAAACAGTACATTATTTCACGAGAGAGAATGAAGAGGTCAATATCACCTCTTGAAATTGAGATTGGTTCTTTCATATAGCTGGCCTCCAGCTAAGAAAACTTTGATAGGTTTACACTATTGTGATTTACACTATTGTGATTTACACTATTGTGATTTCCAAATTGAAGTAGCAGTCACTTACAGTCTAATTTTCCCAATAAAAATCAGATATATACGATAACTTGTTATCTCCCTTTCTTTTTCGTTGCCATGACAATACATCTATTCATTTATACCATGCAGGTGACTCAGAGTAGACCAGGGGGCCCGACTACAGTCAGTGAAGTGGCCAGGGTTGGAATTGTTATCAATCTACAATTAGATCTTTGAGTGGGCTTATTACCAGGCATGGGCTTATTGCAGGATAAATACAGCATTCCTATTTTTGGTAGTCATTGTACGAAATTATGAGAAAATACTGTATACCGGGATTTTTTTTGCCAAGTCAAACATTTTCTTTGCCCATGAAGTTTCTATTTTTGCCCAGTGATAATTTTGCCCTTAAAGTTTAATTACTATGTATATCATATTGTTTACTTATATCCACTGTAATGAAAAATTTGCCCACATCACCAATGACGAAAAAGGCGAAAATTATACTCCAGCGAAAATTTCCCGGTATACAGTAAACTAGTGTACCAGTCCATAATACTGCTAAAAAAGTCGGAGGACACTGTATATTACCTGTTTAATTCAAACGTCTCCCCTAACAGCGGGTTGAAGGGTTTACCGATTCTGTCCCAGTTGGAGGAAATTGCCGATACTGCAAACGCTGACACATACTGTAAAACATAAACGATTTAGTGCCTGAGATTTTTGTTTCAGTAATTATCCCCAAACCTGTTCAATAAATCATCGAAATGTTTTGATTTAATTCTCTTCAAATTCCTATTTTCTTTGTGGGACAGCAAAATTTTCTTTTAGCAATTATACTTAAAAACACTATAACTCTGTCAAATGTTGCAAATTCATTATTTTCATATCTGAAATTTACTTTTGGAACAAATACAAACAAGAGGCCCAAGAGGGCCTGTATCGCTCACCTGAATATTTAAGCAGTCATAGCAAAATATTCTCATTAAATATTATATTGCACTAAAAATATTTCCCTCGCAAACTTTGTTAGCTCCATCTGTTGAAACTACCAGCAAAATATTATTATAAGATTCTATGCTTTTTGATTCTTCTTCAGAAGTTGCTTGACATATTTTTCCCTGTGATCTTGTAAGTAGGTCAATGTCATTTTCCTTCTCAAATTGGTTAGCTCTATTCCAAAAAGCTACCAGCCAAATCTTATGAATCCATTCCTTTTAGTTCTCAAGAACAAATCCATTAAAATGTTGTTGACCTCTGTGACCTCTAAAGTAGGTTGAGGTCATTTTCATTTGCAAACTTTGGTGAGCTCTATCCCGGGAAGTCACCAGCCAAATATTATAATTTTATGCCTTTTAATTCTTCAGAAGAAGCTGTTTGAACTGTTTGACATATTTGAACGCTGTGACCTTGAAAGTAGGTCAAGGTCATTTTCATTCGCAAACTTTGTTTGGCTCTTTCCCAGGAAGCCACCTGCCAAATATTAAGATTTTATAACTACCAGTTCTTCAGAAGAAGTCGTTTAAAGTGTTTGACATATCTGCCTCATGTGACCTTAAAAGAAGGTCAAGGTCATTTTCATTCTCAAACTTTGTTCGGCTCTTTCCTAGGAAGCTACAAGCCAAATATAGAGATTATATACCTTTCAGTTCTTCAGAAGAAGTCGTTTGAAGTGTCTGACACATTTGACTCCTGTGACCTTGAAAGAAGGTCAAGGTCATTTTCATTCTCAAACTTTGTCGGGCTCTATCCAAGGAAGCCATCAATCAAAAATCAAGATTCTATACTTTTCAGTTCTTCAGAAGAAGTCATTTGAAGCTTTTGACATATATGACCCCTGTGACCTTGAAAGTAGGTCAAGGTAATTTTCATTCTCAAACTTTGTTGGGCTCCATCCAAGGAAGCCATCAGCCAAATATGAAGATTCTATACCTTTTAGTTCTTTAGAAGAAGTCGTTTGAAGTTTTTGACATATTTGACCCCAGTGACCTTGAAAACAGGTCAAGGTCATTTTCGTTCCCAACTTTGTAGGGCTCCTACCAACGAAGCTTTCAGCACAATATCATGACTCTAGGCCTGTCCGTTCTTCAGAAGTCCGCCCTTCGTGCCAGGTGAGCTAAAAAATCCTGCTTTTTAACGCTTTGATTTAGTGTTGTCTTGTCCTTCATTTTTTTCAAAACAAATTGTTTTTGTCTCATGAATTTTTTTAATCTTGTCAGCTTCTTTTAAGTTGGAAAAGTAAATAATCCTCCCAACAACAACAACACAGAAAAGTACAAAATTATTACAAAAAGAAGCGGCCTATAGGGCCTGTATTACTCATGTAGATTTTTAAGCAATTATAGGAAACTATTTTCATTGAAATAAAGGTTACAAATATTCTTCTAATTTCGACTCCACCTTTCAGCAATAAAGAGAGGGAGGGGTGGGGGCAACATTCTGTCTTTATATAACAATTAATTCCCTGGTCCCAATACTTCATAGCAAAATTAGGCTGAAATATATCAACTAGTCTGAAGGAGTAGGTTTTCAAAGACTCATACACACAGATAACCCCTTTCGTGCCATGTACCTCGACTGTAGATGGAGCTATACATTCCTCCTGTTTATTGTTTCCCAGGTCAAAGGAAAAGAGGCTAATGAATTATTGCTGATCAGTTTTTACATAACAACAAAAAAAAAGAAATAAAAGTTTTGAACTTTTGAACAGAATGACCTATCACAATGCACTGATTACAGTAAAAAAAACTGCATTTAAAGACCACCTGCCTATAAAGACCATGTAAAAATATCACAAAACAGTACTTTTGGCATAGAAATCAAACTGTTCATCAAGACAACCTGTCTGTTTTAAGACTGTTTTGCTGTCTCATTTGGAAGTATTGTATTTCTAGTCATGTTACTTTGTATTTAAACATTAAATTTGCCATCAGTCACTCACAGCAAACCTTTCGGCTGGGTCGGACGCCATGCTGGCCTTCTCTAGTAGCGACGTGTACTCCATGTACTCAGATATTCTCTGGATAAAACTTAACGGCTCATTGAACACAACAGGCATGGTGATCTTGGACAGTTCCTGCAAGTACATAAAAGAAAATAATGGTTATTACAGGAAATGTTTAGTAATTTAAACAATTATCATACAAAGTTACTTTGATGATGAACACTGAAAAATAAAACGTCATTATTCTTTGGACGGGCTCTGGTAAAATAAACAGTCATTATTCTTTGGACGGGCTCTGGTAAAATAAACTGTCATTATTCTTTGGATGGGCTCTGGTAAAATAAACTGTCATTATTCTTTGGACGGGCTCTGGTAAAATAAACCGTCATTATTCTTTGGATGGGCTCTGGTAAAATAAACTGTCATTATTCTTTGGACAAGCTCTGGTAAAATAAACCGTCATTATTCTTTGGACAAGCTCTGGTAAAATAAACTGCCTGAAACAAACACATTTAAGTGAAAACTAATTTCTGGTTTTCCTTTTGAAAAGTCACCCTAGTTGTTTAGAAGCAACATGATAATAGCACTGATATTCAATAATATCTAACCTTAAAATTACTCATCATATAAGTGCATTATTTTATCTGATCTGAAAGATTTGAAATTTTCACACAAGTTTAGTATTCGTGATATCTTCTTCAGATGGTTTTATTCAATATTTGAAACTCTCCTAACGACAGCCTCAAATTCTGTGATTATCTCGTAAAAGATTTTTCCTAACACAGTCAAATCTTTACTAACTACAGACACAGAAGACTTAGAAGTGGTCTCTTCATGTAGACAGTTTCTAAATAATACAGTACACTGCTTTATGGAGATGAAAAAAAGGATGTTCTCCCGATCCCGAGACAGGAAGTCTTAATAATCTGGTCTCTCTGCGGAAGAGTTGACTGTATAATTTTTTTAATTTTTTTTTTAACTTTCACGAGGCCCCTCTAGATCTGGGCCAGACTCTCTACTTGACACAAGTTTACAAGTGGTAGCCATTAGTGTCTGATGCGGGGACGGATCAATGCTGTGACTGTAACACACAGACAGGCTGGTGTCCCTGCCTGGTAATCAACGGCTCAGTGACAATTCTAACCCCTCATCATCGTGTCACCAACAATTCTACCTCGTTAACCGAATTTCACATCGTGACAAATCAACAAAATTGTTTTATAAAGGAGTTACCAAAACAGATTTTTTTTCTACTTTTATCAAAATCTTTCCTTCACTTTCCTAAAACAAAACTTGTGACTAAAATGGAATGAGGACATACTGGTCACAGGTTCATGTCAGACTAGTTAACTGATATTTGCTTAAAAACATCTCTCGTGGGATAATTGGTAGTCAAATTTCCCGAGAAATAACTGAAAAGAATATATGAAATGCTATACACACTGTGACAGTCGTCTGTCTATCAGGATGTGTACGTGACCTTTTAATACTATAAGTATATAGAAGGCTTGCCATAGGCTTTACCTATGATAACATTAATTCATTTTATAGATTGCTATACAATGAAATATTCTGAAATGAACTATGACAAAAACAACTTTGTGTTTGAGCTTACGCAAAGTAAACTTTATTTCGTTCCTTTATATAAGGGGTACAAATCTACATTGCAAAATTTCCTAAATATCTGAGGCAAGTGTTTTTTTTTTAAATTACCGTAACTGTTCAAATTCTGCTGACGTTTGATTGAATTTATAAAATAGTTGTAGTATTTTGAAAGACAATGCATATCAACATTTGAAAGTTGAAGCATTTATAAAGAATGACCTTGATATGGTGGGATGGTTAACTGCAATCTAAAAATACTGTGTTGGTTTACACACGCATGTATTTTAACAGACAGTGCTATAGATATGCATAAACAAGAATGTCCGTGACTATATTAAGCTACCTCTACCGAAACTTAAAGACGCGGAGGTTCAATTATAGTTGACATTACCAGATGATTACCATGCATGTGTCGTTAACTGTAAGCTCGTTAGTTAACAGCTGTGTTAAAACAATAAACAATGGAGTCTTAATTAGGAATCTTTAGGAATCTTAAGTGTGTATCACCAGCACTCTCCCGCCATTCCAGAAGTGGCTACCACTGTTTTACCGTCCTCAGCATGCAAACTTTTTGTCTATTTCCCGTCCTGATTGGTTTAGGGAATACTTAAGTGTTTCTCAATCATCCTCTCAGGCTTGTGGCAAATTTCCTTAAGATAAGATAGCCTAATGCCAATATTGTTTTCACACAAAATAAAGGAATTTCGGTGTTGCTTATCTTGGAAAAAGAATATTTTAAGTTTTTCCTCAGAAAAGGAAAACTTGGGAGTTCCTCTCCAAAGGAAAACAAGAGGCCCAATGGGCCTGTAATGTAACATTAACATTAAGCTTGTAACAGGCAAAATATCAGTATCTATGACTCAAAGATCTGTTCTATATATATTAGTAATGGAGTAATTTTTAAATGAACTCATTTACCCCTGAAGACACATTTGAACCCTTCCAATTCAAAGGTTGGAATAGTTCATTGAGATAGAAAGAGCACAAACTTTATACCAAATGTTATTATTATACCATATGCCTTTGGTTGAGGAACACTGTTTACCAGAAATTGGAGAAATTAGATTAATAAGACAAGATAGAATTTACTTTTCGTAGGAAGCACTCACCACTTTTTTGTGTATTAATAACAATTCACTTATCCATTTTGTTAATTTAACAGCTACAAATCCAACACATGCCTTTTTGTTTTCACAGACTAATATTATAAATATTTCTATATCAGTCGCCTTTGATAAGAGCTTGAAGTCATTTCTTTGGTATAAATGATCACCCATCAAACATCTAATATAAACAGCATTATAGACTAGAAATATGTCTATAAGATATGGGTGTCCTGCTCAAACACTTACAAACTAAAGCAAGGTCAGAGAAGTCAATGTCACAATGTCATCGTTCTCTACGTATAAAGGCACATAATCATGGGAAGTTGCGTGACCCTAGCTGTAGTACTTAGTCCATAACTGACTTAGGATCAATGTCCCACTGCACTGTGGTTTTTTCTATACACAGTAACCTCCCCTTTACTTCCGTTTGGATATAACTTTAGCACAGTTGGACCACGATGCTTCCATTTAAAACCGGGTAGCTCAATTGGTTAGTGATGGTATATAAATCTGAAGTCCAGGGTTCAAATCTCGGTCTAGCCCTGCTGAAGTTTTACACGACAGGATACTGTTGTCTATTGTACTTTGCTTATTTCGTCTTTATTGTTTCTCATGACATACTGTAAGGTATGGGTTTCCTTTCAGAAACGATCTATCAATGCTATAGTCAGGCCGGAAAAAAACCCGGTTTCCAATCCATAGTAACAGTTTTTGGCAGCAGTACAGGGGCACAGAAACTAGCTGGATGTCTAAGTATGGACAAGGTTTTAAACATGATGTGCCTGTACCATTTCATGGCAGGACATACAAAATGTCATCTGTATAATTTAAGCTTTCTTTACAAGTGTTTCCATCTTGTTTGTTTGTCCCTTTTTATAAATCTAACCAAGCCAATCAAATCTTTAATTGTTTTCTTGATAATTTTTCTTTTCATTTTCAAATCAAGTATAATATCTTTTGGTGTTTTAGTTAAAACATTTAAATGCAATTAACAATAGAGCCTGCTCCTGCTCTATCTGGTTTTAAACATCAATATACTAATTGAAAGCTACAGCTAAATCTTCACCCTTTTAGCACTGAAATTCTGATCAATACTTTCATGTACTGGTACTGAAGCTATAATGTTTGTAATGAGTAATATGATTGGCTAATCTCACAACAGATGTTGAAACAAGGTTCCTGATTGGCTATAATTCCTGAGGTAGCTACTGAAGAAACTCTGTTTATTGTCTTGACTGATACATCTTTAAATTCACTCAGTCTGCTCCTTTGTCAATTCAATTTAGTTTTAGCAGCTACAATAAAAACCTGTGAACAATCTCTACACTTCTGATCAATACACTTCGCCTCTCATACACATTTGATAGACACAGGCTACTGGAGGGTACTGCAGCCGTCAGTACAAATATTGACTGAACCCAGTTTTTGAAGATTGAGATAAGTTTTTCTAATTGTGGAATTTTTAAAGAAGTCCACATGTTTGGAACTGCATAAATATATTCCTCGGTAGAACATTTAATGTTAACTTGCTTAACTCATTCACCCCTAAAGACACATTTGAACTGTTCCAATTCAAAAGTTGGAATAGTTCATTATGAAAATTCAAAGGTGAATGAGTGAAACACGTTTTAGTCATAAGTATCCCAATTATTTTTTTTGCTAAATCATTTGTTGTCAATATTTTGTTCGAGACCCTTTGACGTTGAGAAAACAGTCTGATAAGTGAGTCACACAAGGTGGTCTTGCACACGTACATTCGACGGCGCCGTAAGCCGATCTGATAAACTCGTTCAAACACTGCATCCAACAAATTTACGGGTTCAGTATATCTAAATTAGTGTACATGGTATTCATTTATCTTTTCCAGTACCGTAGTAAGCACAAATACGTCCGATATGCTTGATTAGAAAGTATAAGTATCGCCTTGAAACACCATGTCGAAGTGCCGATTTTCGGCCTTTCAGATAACTTCAAACAATAGGCCCTATATCGTATCTGACTGTGTACTTTCGTGGTTAGACGTTTTAGAACTTCAAGTGATCGAGAAAAGTTATTTAGCATCGCAGTTATGCAGTTTTTAGAACAGCAAACCGTTCAGAATTACTCTGACGGTCGCTTGTATTCGTCCTTTTCCTTTCAAATGTGTTCTACTGCCATTTACATTTGAAATGTATGATCTTTTTAAATATCTTTATATTTATTTTTACATAAAACATGAATTACGGTGAATGTAAACAAAGGAAAAATAATTATCAATATTGCATCACTGAGGCTACTTTTGATTTGGATTTTATTACCGTAAAAACCCATGTAATTTGCGCACCTGTGTAATTTGCGCAGGTACTTTTTGAGGCTGAAAATCGGGAAAAAAGCTTCTACTCGAATATTTTGCGCACCCAAAAAATCGATCTCTGAATTTTG